GGCTCTGCTTGCTGATGGGAGTCAAGGCTGTGGGGGAGTCCCATGGACGGATTACTTCTGCTCAGACCATGACTACAGACTGGACCCCTGGCTCTGGCCCGCTGGCTCTTAAATACACACCACTGGTCACGTGGTGCTGCATGCAAATTTGCTTCTGGATGACTATTAGCCAGAGGAGGGGCTGTTTTTAAGTGGAGGGTACAGCTGTTCCTGGGGTAGTTTCCATTTTGTTTGTGGTTGTGGGGGAGGGGCGTTGAGAGAGTGGGAAATGGCATGAAGGAAATTGTCACTTCCTTTCCAGAGAATTCCAGAAAGGTTTCATGGAGTCCTGGGTATTTCGGGAGTGAAGGCTGGCTCTGAGAGGATGAGGAACCGGAGAAGGAGAACTCTGCTTTGTGGCCTGGCTGACCATCTGGCTCCCATGTTTCCTGGCGTGCGTGAAAATGCCACGGGTGTTACCAGCAATTTTGTGAGAGCCATTGGCTCAGCTGAACAGCTGTAGATTTAAAGTAGCTCCACAGAGCCTGTGGATGTGGCTTTCACATAGGGGCTGCTTCCTGTATGCAGAGGAGGCCCGCAGGGGTGGGCGCTGGACACCGCTTGACTCGCTCCAGTGACAACCTCAGAAAGGGTCTGTACGTCTGAAGGGGGCCCAGCTGTGATGACGCAGGAGCAGCCCAAACCACTTCTATTTAGCTCTTTTGGTTTTGAAATGCACTCAGAACCACAGCGAGCCAAAGGTGTGCATCCGCAGGCTGGGGATGCAGGCGCCCTCGCTTGCTTGCTCCCTCCTGTGGCACTCATTCGCTCACACACGGTGTCCGGGGCCATATGCTCTCCAGACGCTTTGCTTTCTGTGCAAGTAGGACAGGCCCTGGGAGCCAGGGATCCTACAGTGGCCTCCAGGGGAGTGAAGGGAGTAGAGCTCTTGCCACCCTGGGAGCAGGCTCTGCCTGGAGCCAGCTGTGATCTGTACAACGCTGGGGCGGGTGGGGAGCTTCCCAGGCACGTCTAGCCAAGTATCTGTGTGTACCCACCTAGTGCCCCACTCCCCATCGTGTCTCAGTGTGTCTGTAAGGACAGCAGGGAGGAGTGCCCCTGGTGTGGGCCTCTCTGGCCTCCAGCAGGGCGGGCCTTCTGGGGTGGTGGTTTTTTTGGTTTCAGGTTCCTGGGAGAGGGAGGTTATTTTGAGGGACTGGGGAGGGGGTGGTTCACTCCTCTGCCGGGGAGAGTGAGTGAACATGCAAATGAGCCTCTCCCCACCTCTCACTTTCAAATCCTCAAACATCTGAGGGGGGAGGGGAGAAACTTTCTGGACTGGAAGGTTCCATGGTGGGGCTGGGATGGGAGTTTTCTTAGCCTTGGCCGAAAAGTAGGACGGCTACTTCCTCCCCCCACAACCCCTTCACCTTCCTAGCTGTAGGCCGGAGCTCCGGACAGTACAAGACCACCAGGATCAGCCTTGGGTGCTGGGTGCAGCAGCCTCACAATGCCCCCAACCCTGGGTCAGCAGAACCTGCACCAACCAAGTCCTGAATTTAGATATTTAGACACTTGAATGCAATTGGATTAGTGTCTTCCTTTATTTCAAACCTCTCTACATCGATGGCCAAGGATTCCATCCAATATTCTGTGGGGCTGCCTTCCTTCTCCCACCACATCCATATACTGCGGCTGGCATTTTCTTCCCAGGAAGCATAGGACTTTGAATTTTCTGTAGCTGGGGTGGAGGGGGGTGCTAGCGGTGGCAGCCCATCCCAGCCCTGTTTGCTGCAGCCTGCTGGAGCCAGCATTAGCCCAGGCTCTTCATTCTTATTCTGGAGAAGGCAGGCCTGGAGGAGGAGGAACCCACAAGCAAGCTTGTGGCGCTGCTGGTCCAACCAGGGAAGCCCTCTGACACACAGAGGCCCTCAGGCACACATCCCCACACTGGGGACACACCAGCACACCCTGCACACAAGTACATTTGTGGTGTGCTTGCACACCCACAGTGAGAGCTCCCATTGTAAATTACAATGCAAAAATACACAGATGTAACTAACATGCACAGAGCACACATTTCTCTCTCTCTCTCTTTCTCTCATAAGCCTGAGTGCACAACACCCACCCCACAACCAATGTATACATGGATATATTTTTTTAGGGAGGGGGAGGGAGGAGAGGCAGAGAGAGAGAGAGAGAGAGAGAGAGAGAGAGAGACTCTCAAGCAGACTCCCCGCAGAGCCAGACTCACAGAGCTCTATCTCACAGCCCATAGCCTTGAGATAGTGACCTGAGCGGACATCAAAAGTCAGACACTTAGGGCATCTGGGTGGCTCAGTGTTTGAACATCTGCCTTTGGCTCAGGTCATGATCTCAGGGTCCAGGGATTGAGTCCTGCATCGGGTTCCCCACGCCCTGCTTCTCCCTCTGCCTGTATCTGCCTCTCTCTGTCTCTCATGAATAAATAAATAAAATCTTTTAAAAAAAGTCAGACACTTAACTGACTGAGCCACCCAGGCGCCCCACATGGAAATACTTCTTGCTGGGCAGCCCCGGTGGCGCAGCGGTTTAGCGCCGCCTGCAGCCCAGGGCATGATCCTGGAGACCCTGGATCGAGTCCCACGTCAGGCTTTCTGCATGGAGCCTGCTTCTCCCTCTGCCTGTGTCTCTGCCTCTCTCCCTCTAAATAATAAATAAATAAATAAATAAATAAATAAATAAATAAATAAATCTTAAAAAAAAAAAGGAAATACTTCTTGCCCAGAAAATACACCTCACTGGTACTGACCAACCAATATCATTCATTCGTTTGTTCGTTTGTTCATTCATGTGTTTATTCTGCAAAAATAAATGGAGTGTCTGCTACAGGCAGCACAGTGTGAGGTGCTCGTGTTTCACTGATGACCAGCACAGTTGTCCCTGCCCTCCAGGAAGCCACTGCCTAATGGGGGAGGTCGGGAAGGTGCACGGGAGGGAGGTCGTAGGCAGAGAGCACCAGTGAACTCGCAAACGTGAGGTGCTGATCTGTGAAGAGAAGCCCTAGAGATGAGCAAACCTGGAGGGAAGGGCTGCGGCAGAATGACCTTGGGGGGGGCAGACACTGGAGTTTCGTGTTTAGACAAAGTGGGATTAGGTGAAAGTGATCCCTTTCATTTGATTAGTATGAGAATGCTTCCTGGGGGCAGACAGCCGGCCTGAGGGAGGGCGGGGAGCTGCGGAATGCGGGGCCTCGGGGCGCTGGGGCTAGCAGAGACAGACCTTCCAAGCATAAATGGTCCTGGGAGGCTTCTCCAGCGGGTCACAGGAGACCGGGTCACCGGCAGGGCCCAGTGGGGGTGGGGTGGGGTGGGGGTAGGGGGGACTCAGGCCCCGGATTGTAGACCGTATTTTCCCCAGGGCCGCCTCTTCGTCCTAGCAGGGTTGTCTCCTTCGGCAAGGGAAACTCAGACCTGACAGGTTGAGTTGGGTGACAGTCTTGAAGTTTTGTGTTCAGGGTGGGTGGAAAGGTGTGGGGGTGAGCGGGGGGGGGGTGAGCAGGCGGAGCCAGCCCTGTGGGCTAACGGAAAGGAAGTGGGAGAGGCCTGGGTGTCTCCTGTGGGGGGAGCGGTCATCACAGAGGTCACCCGTGGTCCTCCTCCCTTTCCTCCCCTTTGCCCCTCTCTGCAGTTCCTCCTTTCTTTCGGAGCCAGGAGAAGGGTTGGCCACCCTGGCACTGGCAAAGGTGTTGTCAGGGAGATAGGAGTCAGATGTGTTGCTCCTACTGTGGGCCGTGGACCCAGTTCCTCAGGCATTCGCAGACCCACTGCATGGAGGCACGCACGAGGATACCATGAAAAACAAGCCCAAGGGCCCAAGCTGTGGTACCTGGACATGGCGAGGTCTGAGTGTTCAGGAGTAGAGGAGCAGAGTGGGCTGGCGGGAGGGGCACGGGGGAGGGAGGCGTGGGTGTGACCACGCAGCAAACACAGGAAACAATTGGAGGCCTGGTGTCGAGTGAGTGAGCACCTGAGGTGCAGACCGGGAGTACCAGAGGCTTTGGGGCCAGTTGGGGCCTGGAGAGGCATGTGGGCTGCAGCACACAAGTTTCCTGGAAAGGGAGGGGGGCCAGAGCCAGCCCCGGAGGATGGAGAAGATTCTGGGGGCCCCTCCCCAAGCTGGGGCTCTCCTCTCAAGTTCCCAGGGTGACAGTTCAGTCTTGAAACTGAAAGCAAAGCTGAACCAAGAGCGTGAACCCACACAAGGCACAGAAGCCACCCGCTCCTGTGGGTAGCAAGGGTGCCAGGCAGCGATAAGGGCTAAGGGCACAGAGCCTTAGGCCCACCTGTCCCTCCAGCTCTGGGCTGTCTGGGGGCGTGGCCAATTCCGAAAGTCCCCTCCTCAGGAGCAGAGTCAGATCAGCACTAGTCCTGGCAACAACCCCCCCCCGCCCCCCCCCCCCCGCATGCTGAGATATTTCTCCCTCTATAGACTCTGCCCCCTCAGAGCTAACTGGCCTCCACTTCCAAGGTAGACTAAGCCAGGCAGAGTCTGGAAGCACACCTGGTACACCCATGTATCCCTAACCCACACCCATTCACACAAGATTCTTTCTAAGCCAAGGAAATCTTATGGATTCTTCATGCTGCTGTCCCATCTATAGGGACGTATGGGGTGCCCTGATTTCCCCAGTGGCCACACCCTGGGGATTAATATTCAGGGTGGAGAGAGCCTAGAGTCCCTCTGCCACCTCCAGAGGAGGCAGGAGAGAATGGAGGGAGGGCCAGCTCAGGGGCAGATGCTGGTGACAGGCTGACACTGAGGCCCCGCCACTTCCCAATGGACGCAGCTCAGTTCACTTCCTCTTTTTCCTTTTTTTTTTTTTACCTGCTTCCTTTCTTCTTCCCCTTTCTTCTCCCATCCCTCCCAGGCTAGATGGCAGTCTGCCCCGGGCAGTGGGGTCCCTGTGGTTGGCTAGCTGTCCTGGGAACAAATCTCAAGGAAGGTGACTTGCTCATTGCCCATCTCTCCCTTCTCCTTAGGTCACTCCTGCGGTTTGCCCAGCCCAGCATGCAGCCTTGAACCTGGCCTAGGCCACCACCTACTCCAGCTCTCCACACCCCCTATTTTACTGTGGCTCGGGGTATAGGCTCTAAGCTCCAAGGTACCTGAGCAGCATTTCTTCGTCAAGGATACCCCCTGCAGCTCCAGAGGGCCCTGCGAATCCTGCTGTCAGCTCTCTGAGGAGACAGCATGGCTATTACCTTGCAGCCCAGTGACCTGATCTTTGAGTTTGCAAGCAACGGGATGGATGATATCCACCAGGTATGGCCCCAGAGAACAGAGCCCAGTTAGCCGAACAAACTATCAGATAGACACACACAGGCAGGCAGACAGCAAGCCAGCCAGCCGGCCCCAGGACTGGCCAGCCCTCAAGTATTGATCAAGCACCCTCTGGGTCCAGACCACTGGGCTTGTGTGCCAGCCAGACTGTGTGCCTGCACGTCACTCATGCGGCCAGGCACTAGTCATTTGGCGGTCATTCTGCGAGCCAGTTGCCTACGGGCAGTCACCAAGCCAGCTGTGCAGCTATTAAACACAGCAGCCGAGCTGTCAGGCAGGCAGCAATGTGGGCTGAATGCACCGGTGCACATGGACCCTCACGTGCATGTCCATCCCCTCCCCTCACCTGTAATGTCACAGTGAGAAGGCTGCGGGGACACCCACATAGCAAGAGTGAGCGCTGCCAGCTGGACCCACAGGGCAAAGACCAACCCCCAGTCCCTGGTTGATGAGCCCTTCCATAACCATCTTTTCAGCCTCAATCAGAGGATTCAGATCTGGAAATGGGTTTCTTTGGTGGGGGAAAGGTGAAAGAAAAATAGGGCAGAATTTCGGCACTTAGGCCCCACCGCTCCGTATCTTGCTATGTGCTGAGGCTAAGAGAGCATGCTTTCCGGGTGCTTGACTGTACCCACTGGATGGTGTCTTGGCACACTCATTGGCCCCCTCGACTCCTCTCCTTCCACAAACTGGAGAAGAGGCAGCCAGGTACGGTAGAAGGAACAGAAGGCTTAAGAGTCAGGAGTCCTGGGTTCTCATCCCAGTTTGGCCACAGAGTCACGTGGGCAAGTCCCATCCCCTACCCTATCTGGCTGATATCTCCCCATCTTCACCAAGAAGAGATCCAGTTGGATTATCTCTAAGGGCATCCCAGCTTAATACTGCCATTCTCTGTGCTAAATCCTTTTGAGGACAGAAAACTTTGTTCTCCCTCTAGCAGCCTACCGAGGGCTGCCCCCTAGCGGGCTTTGAGCGCATTGCATGTTCTGTCCTGGGTCTTCACCTAGAAGTGCTCAGTCTGATCCAACACCTGGGCTGTGCCTCCCCTTGTGGAAGGTATCATGGGAAGGAAAGGGAAAGGGAAGACAAATCTAACCATCTCTGTGTTCTCAATACTGCTAGTCATTTTTTTTCCTGTTTTTGGTCTGCTTAGCAGCTGTTACTCTGCTTCATGGAGGCTGTTCCCTTCCACATTCACACTTGCCCCTCTGCCCTCAGACAGCTTCTCCTCCAATTCACAGAGAAGCTCAAAGCCAAGGACACCCTCTGTCTCCCTCCCTTCTTCCTTTTACTGATAAGGAAAGAACAAGAACAGTTTCCTTCCCGTGGGCCCAGGAGAAAGAACTGTCCCTCTTCCTTCCAGCAGTATCTCCTACCTATACTTGTCTCCTGCCTTCAAGACCTCAACCCAATGGTCACTTCCAACATCTCTCTCATAAGTCCTTAAGACCTTCCAGACCTTTTTCCTCAACCTAGAACATCTCCCCAACCCTGGAAGAAACCCTTCTTTCCTTTCTACCTACCTCCTTCAAAATACTGCCTCCTTAACTCCCTTCTCTTCATCAGTATGGTCTCCACTCTCTGTGCTTACATTCTTACCTCCTTTCTCTCCCTTTTCAGGAAACGGTTTGTATTGAAAAATGTGTCATTAATACAAAAGAGTGTATACATATATATGTTGAAGAATAATTATAAAACGAACACCCATGAACACACCACCCATGTTAATAAATAAAGCATTACAAGTCTCCCAGAAGTCCCTGATACCTAAAACACTCGATGAGAGCCTACTCTACACCGAGCCTGTTCTATGGGCTTTACTTGCATTGATCTGTTCACACAACCCTATGGGGTTAATATGACCACCCCAATTTTGCAAATGAGGAAGGCAATGCACAGCAAGATTAGGTAGCTTGCCCAAGGCCCCACTGCTAGTAAGTAGCAGAGCTTGTTTTCAAGCCCAGGCTGTCTGGCTCTAGATTAGGACAAATCAATGGAATTTTCTGAGGCACTAGAAGTGTTCTATATTTGCCCTGTCCAATTCTGGGGCCACTAGTTACAAGAGACTATGGGGCACTTGAACTATGGCTAATGCAGTTGGAGGACTGGACTTTTAATCTTGAAAAATGTTTACATTTACATTTAAATAGTCACCCATGCCTAGTGGGTACCATATTGGGCAGATGGCCCTCAACTCCATGGCCTTCATCACTACACCCCAGTAGTGGTGTAGTAGGACGGCACTTGTCCAGCCTCTCTGAGATCCATTGTAAAGTGTCCCCTGAAAGTGTTCTAGCCAGGCTGACTGCCCACTGGCCAAACCCAATGGCGGTTTATCAATTTTTATTTTTCTGGCTTGTTCAGAAACATTAGGCAGAACTGAGCATTGTCATTCTTTTTTCATGAAAAAAAAATTAACAGCCCCATGAAATAAAATTTGCAAAATACAGAAAATTTGAAAGAAAGGGAAAAAAGTCACCCAAAGTTGCTCCTGATATAATCCCTTCTCTACATAATTTTTAAAGAATTTGCAGGGTACCTGGGTGGCTCAGTTGGTTAAGCGTGTGCCTTTGGCTCAGGTCATAGTCCCAGGGTCCTGGGATCAAGCCCAAGTTGGGCTCCCTGCTCAGTTGGGAGTCTGCTTCTCCCTCTCACTCTGCCCCTCCTCTCTTCATGCTTGCTCAAGCGTACTCTCTCTCGGTCTCTCAAATAAATGAATAAATAACTTTTTTTTTAAGACAGTTGTTTTTTTTTTAAAGACAGCCTGGGTGGCTCAGTGGTTTAGCATCTGCCTTTGGCTCAGGGCATAGTCCTGGGATCCCCGCAGGGAGCCTGCTTCTCCCTCTGCCTATGTCTCTGCCTCTCTGTGTCTCCCATGAATGAGTGAATGAATGAATGAATGAATAAAGACAGTTGCAATCACATTCCTTTTTTTAAAAAGCTTTTATTTATTTACTTGAGAGAGAGAGAGAAAGCATGAGCAGGGGGAGGAGCAGAGGGAGAGGGAGATAATCTCTACTGAGGGCCCTATCCCATGACCCTGAGGTCGTCACTACATGAGCTGAAACCAAGAGTCAGATACCCAACCAATTGAGCCACCCAGTCGCCCCAATCACACTCCTTTTTCATTTAGCTTTGTTTGATTTGAGAGCAGCTACGTCTTCCAGGGGTCAAATTCTCATCCTGATTGTTGTTATCCACTCTAAGAGATTTAGCAACCACCCTTTTAAGCTCTTGGACACGTATTTTTGACCCACTGATAGGTATTTCCGTGTTAAATATCAAACTCACAATATCCAGACACTGTTCCCCTTCTCTTTCTCCAAAAACCTGTTTCTCCTCCTCCACACGAGCAGTGTCCCTATGCACCCAACGAATCAAGCTGGAAATTGGAACCCTCTCCTCCAGACAGGGACTGGGCCCTCACTTTACCTCTATAATGCCTCTGTTCTGTCTTCATTGCCAGAGACTGAGCCCGAGAACTACAACCAATTAAAAATGCCCGCCCTTGACTGAGTGCAAGTGGCACAGAGCTAGCCTGTCTCTGTTAATCAAGAATCCACTCAAAGCATCACCTAGTGAGGTTGGACCCAGAGCAATGTCATCCCATACAAAAGACAGCTCTGAGGGCTCCAAGATTTAGGAATTGCAAGAAGGGCCAGATTCTGGTAGGGAGGGGTTCTTGGGAGAGGCAGGTGAGCCTTAAACCGGATCCCTCTCTTGTCCATAGCTGGAAGACCCCTCAGTGTTCCCAGCTGTGATCGTGGAGCAGGTGCCCTACCCCGAATTACTGCATCTGTACTCAGGACTGGAGCTAGACGACGTTCACAATGGCATCATAACAGATGGAACCTTGTGCATGACACAGGATCAGATCCTGGAGGGCAGTATTTTGCTGGCAGGTTTGTTTCTTTCCTGAGCAGGGAAGTGTGGGAAGAGAAAGGGATTGTGCCTTCAGGAACTATAGTAGCCCACGATGGCTTTCAGTGACCCCATGCAGCAAGAGCCAGGCCGCAAGAGTTGGAGATTATAGATAGGGTGGTTAGGATAAGCAAAAGGTGGTAGAGGAGGAAACCATCCAAATGGATCTGTGGTCTTTCAAGATGGAGTGGGACAAGGAGGAGTGGAGATCAGCTGGGGTGAGTGTAGAGAAAAGCTGGAGAGTTACAGTAGGTGGCACACGAGCCCCTTCCAGTGGTCCCTTAGCTCCTTAACACTATCCTCTGGGTTGGCCCTGGTGATAGCTATACCCCTGCCCTATATATCCTGAGGGAACTTTTTTTCTGCCCACTCCCCCACCCCACACCATGGAACTTGGAACCAGATGACAATGAAGCAACCTCACAAACCATGTCAACCACTGAAGTCTTGCTCAATGTCGAGTCTCCCAACGACATCCTGGACGAGAAGCAGATCTGTAAGTCTGAACCCTGGTGCCTTTACTCAAGGGAACAAAAAAACGCCATTTAAAAATATCACATTGTGTACTAGAGTCCCAGGCACCTGTGTACACGGGCATTGACACATGTCAACGTGCTCTTGAGCTGTGACAGGATGGGAGAGGGCAGAGGGGCACTGTAGACAAGGGAAAGGTGGCCAGGGGGACTTCCCTTTTCCAATTTTTAAATTGTTGCAAAACACACGTAACATAAAATTGACTACCTTAACCATTTTTCAGTGTCCAGTTCAGTGGTATCAAGTACATTTATATTGTTGGGCAGCCATCGCCACCATCCACCTCCAGAACCTTCCATGTTTCAAAACAGAGACTATGTGCCCATTACACACTAATTCCCCATTTCCCCCTCCCCTCAGCCCCTGGCAGCCACCACTCTACTTTCTGTCGCTATGAATTGGACTATTCTGGGGACCTCACATGAGTATAATCACGAAGTAGTGGTCTCTGGGGACTGGTTTATTTCGTTTACCATAATGACGTCAGGGTCTGTCCATGTTGTCACGTATGTCCGAATTGCCTTCCTTTTTAAGGCTGACTACTGTTGGCCAGGGTGACTCTTCGGTCCTCTCTGCTCTCTTGCCGGGCCCTCAGGAAGACTGTGCAGGGGATGGCTTATCTAGAAATGTGCCAGGCTCGGAGCTTGGCCCCCCATCACCCCAGAAGGCCCCCAAGGGAGGCTCCTGCCCCAGCTCCCTCTGAGGCCTTTCCCTGATTCATGAACACAAGGACTCCTTGCCCTAACTGCCCCTTCCCAAGGGGATGCTAGGATCCGGCAAGGGGGAAGAGAGCCTGAAGCTGCCAGTTAAGCATCCTAGCACTTCTGTTCCCAACCCTGTCACTCATGTTCCCTCGGGCTTCAGCAAATACTTGATGAATCACTTGATACTGACTTGCTGTGTGACCTTGGACACATGCCCTGCCATCTCTGGATCTCAGTTTTCTTATCAGGAAAGCAGAGGAATTGGGCTAAATGATATCTAAGCACCTTCCAGTTGTAAAACAAGTGAATGACTAAATCAAGGTGGCCTTTTACCCTGGGTGTTGCCTGGAACTCCCCACTCCCAGCAGGGGGCTGTGAATGTGGCAGCTGTGATTGGGGCCAGCTCATGCCCACAGCCCTGCAGATGTTTCCTCTCCTCATGGTGTGAGATGTAGGAGGCATTTTCAGGTGTATCCTGTATCTGGGGCTATGGGGAACGGGTCCTCAGCCTTCCCCGGGAGCGTGCCATCCTCTGAAGTGCTGGGTGGAGGGTGGATCATACACTTGCCCAGCACTGGGCCTCGGGTGGGCGCCTCAGGCCTTTCTCCTTGCAGTCAGCGCCTCCGCCTCCGAGATGCTTCCAGACTCAGACCCTGCTCCGGCTGCCACTCTGCCCAACTACCTGTTTCCTGTCTCTGAGCCTGATGCCCTGAACAGGGCAGGTGACACTGATGACCAGGAGGGGCGTAGTCTGGAGGAGACGGTCCCCAGAGAGGAAGGTGCCAAGAAGACTGGAAAATCAAAGAAGAGAAGTAAGGAGGGGGGGATGTGTGTGTCTGTGCACTTGCAGGGAGGGGGGCGTAGTAGGAAGGGGGGCAGGTCAGGGAGACCATAAAGGATGAGTGGGTCAAGGATCATAGACACATTAAGGGGACAGCTCTCTGGTGTGACAGGGATGGATGAAAAGTCCTCCCTCCTGTAAAACCTGGCCTCATAGGTTGGCCTGCCCAAAGCCTGACATTTCCCATGCCACTCCTGTCAGCCTGGCATGTACGGAAAATCGTGCAGAAATGCCAATGACCCCACGTGGGTTGAATCCTAGTCTAGGTGTTTCGGACACCAGGCTTGGCCCCCTGGCCAGTCCCTGGCCCTCTGTGAGGGTTGGAGAGTGCCCTCTGCCTGTAAAAGACGCCTTAGGCTGCGTGCTTATCTTCCTTCTCAGAACTCGTGGAACTGGGGCCATCTATGGGAGAGGACTTTGGGCTTTCCCAAGCCCCAGTGTTATTGATTTACTCAGGCAATGACTGGTTGATAGTGCCTTGCTAGTGTGGCAGCCAAACCCCCAGTGCCACACTTACTTGGACAACAGCTACACCTTTAGGCTACCTTTTCGTTTCCAAAATTGGGCTGAGCCCATTGGGTTCTTCTAGAGGTGACTCATTTGTAAACAGCACATTCCTTGCCCCGCATCAGCAGGAGGGTTCTGCTGTGCTTTGGGGGCCTGAAAATGACAGCAGGCCTTTGGGCAGGTGCAAGAACCTGAGGGCTGTGGTGGCAGAGATGGATCTCAGGCCTCTGGGCCTAGTGACCTGGCTCTCCCCCACTCTGCCCTCTGCCATGGCACCCACTCCAGTGATCCCTGGGGCCCTCCCTCCCGGGAGCCTGCCCTGGAGCACTGGGTGTGGCCTCATTCTCATCCTGCACCCCGCCTCCTTTCCCCTCACAGTTCGGAAGACCAAGGGCAACCGCAGTACCTCACCAGTCACTGACCCCAGCATCCCCATACGGAAGAAGTCTAAGGATGGCAAAGGTACAGCTGGGAGGCTGGCTGGGTGGGAAGGGGGCCCAGGGCCCCAGGCTGTGCCTTACCACCTGCTTCCTCCCCCTCCCCTGCAGGCAGCACCATCTATCTCTGGGAGTTCCTCCTAGCGCTTCTGCAAGACAGGAACACCTGCCCCAAATACATCAAGTGGACCCAGCGAGAGAAAGGCATCTTCAAGCTGGTGGACTCCAAAGCTGTGTCCAAGCTGTGGGGGAAGCAGAAAAACAAGCCTGACATGAACTATGAGACAATGGGGCGGGCACTAAGGTAGGGGATGCTGGGGCACTTGGTGCCTGCCCTGGGGGCCCAGAAGTCCCTCCTGCTTTAGGGTCTGCTAACTCTCCCCTGTTCTTGCCCCCATGGAGGGGTTGCTGGTTCCCTATGCCCATCCTCTGGCCCCTCCTGGGAGGCACAGTCCCCTCCCTTGAATAGCTCTGTCCTAGCTTTTTTCCTCTTTTTATAGCAGAAGAGCCTTTTAGGGCCTTTCGTCCCCACGAAGGGCGTTCTGCCTGCCAGAGACCTAGGGAGACAGGCCCGAGTTACCCATCAGGGATCTCTCAGGCTGGGGGACAGCTGAGCTCCCCATCAGCAATCCCCTCCCATCCCTCGCTCACCCATTGTCCTTCTCCCCAAAGCAGGGCATGGCTAGCATTTGAGACCCCTTTTCATGGCCCTTGGTGTCCTCAGGGGGAAACCTTAGAAATTTCATAAAAGCCTTCTAAGTCCAAGAGTTGACCTTACCCCTTCCCTTGACCTTGGGGCTCCCATTTGGCCACCTGACCAGCCTCCTCCTACTGCCCGCCCTGCCTAACTCCCCACTCTGTGCCCCTTGTCCCCCAGATATTACTACCAGAGAGGCATCCTTGCCAAAGTGGAAGGGCAGAGGCTGGTGTACCAGTTTAAGGAGATGCCCAAGGACCTGGTGGTGATTGAAGATGATGAGGAGAGAAGTGAAGTCACGGCGGCCTCCCCTCAGGCCTCCACTCCCTCCACGTCCTCCACCAGCACCACCCGCCGAGCCAGCTCCAGGGTCTCCGCCAGAGCTGCTCCCCAGGCCAAGGGAGGCCCTTCCTGGGAAAAGCCAAAGGTTCAGAATGTTGGCTTACAGCCATCTGCGAATCTGGAACTGGGACTGTCTGTAGATGAGGAGACCCCCACTACCTCCAGTGTGCTTGCCTCTCTACCGGAGAGCCAGCCCAAACTCGCCAAAACCGTGAGGTAAGGGCCCCAGAGTACACGTCTTCCCATCATACCTGTGTTGGCGGGGTGGGGGCAGTTAGTGGGGAGAGTTTTCAACCTCTTGCAAAGTTCTGCTATGTCTCCAGTCTCGTGGGAACCTCACAGAATCCCTGGGAAGCCACTGGGGCACTTGTTGGTCAAGAGGGGAAAAGTGACCTGCCCACGGTCACACACCAAAAGAATGGCAAAGCCAGCACTTGGCCTAGGTGACATCTGTCACCAGCTCGGGCTGTGCCAGTTATCTCTGAGTGCTCCCCCAGCAGCCACCAGGGACCTCCACATCTGGGCCTATCTCCCCAAGCCTCCTCCACTCTGGAAAAGAGGCAACAGAGAATGTTACATAGATGCCTGTTCTGCATTCCTTGGGCCCTCTAGGCAAGCTCTTGCTACTTCTTATCCATGCCACATGTCTCCAGATTTTCCTTGAGAAGGCTGGGCTTTGAGATATGTGTATGTTGCTCTCACTATACTGGCATGGGCGATGTGCCCTTCTGGGGACGGAAGGCAATAGAGTGGAGTGGTGAGGAACATGAGCTCTGGGGTCAGAAGGCCTAGATGTGGGTCCCTGCAACTAGCTGTGTGGTCTAGGGCAAGCTGCATAGCCTCTCTGGGCTTCTGTTTCCCCAAGCTGTAAAGTCAGGTTATTAATCTTACTCAGCATGTGGGCTATTGGGAAGATGGCTCAAAGTAGTGCATGCCAGTCCTTTAGGATGATTCCCAAACTCTACTAGGTACTCGGTAGATGTTCACTGATCCAACCACAGAGGAACCGAACACCTTCAGCTGGCTCTGTTCCTCACAGGCGCTCCTTCCTGGCCAATTGGGAGATGCCTCTTGCCTTAATCAAATCTATTTCCTCTCTTCTCAGTACTTCAGTGCCCAGCAACATCCACCTAGGAGTGGCCCCAGTGGGGTCAGGCTCAGCCTTGACCCTGCAGACAATTCCACTGACCACAGTGCTGACCAACGGGCCTCCTGCCAGTACTACTGCCTCAACCCAGCTTGTCCTCCAGAGCGTTCCGCCTGCTTCGACCTTCAAGGACACCTTCACTTTGCAGGCCTCCTTCCCCCTGAACACCAGTTTCCAAGAAAGTCAGGTGGCAGCACCGGGGGCTCCGCTGATTCTTAGTGGTCTCCCCCAGCTTCTGACCGGGGCCAACCGTCCGACCAACCCGGTGCCATCCTCCGTCACCGGGGCCGGACCAGCTGGGCCCAGCTCTCAGCCTCCTGGGACTGTCATTGCTGCCTTCATCAGGACTTCCGGTGCCACGGCAGCCTCTGGGGGCAAGGAGGGGCCGCTGAGGCCCTCCTCGTACATGCAGGGGATGGTAACTGGGGCCCCCATGGAGGGGTTGCTGGTTCCTGAAGAGACCCTGAGGGAGCTCCTGAGGGATCGGGCTCACCTTCAGCCACTTCCAACCCAGGTGGTTTCAAGGGGTTCCCACAATCCGAGCCTTCTGGGGAACCAGACTTTCTCTTCTCCCAGCTGCCCCACTGTTGGGCTGACCCCAGTGGCTGAACTTGAGCTCTCCTCAGGCTCAGGGTCCCTGTTCATGACTGAGCCTGGCGTGACCACATCTGGGAACCTGCTGACCAGATCCCCGACCCCAGCCCCCTTCTCCCCATTCAACCCCACTTCTCTTATTAAGATGGAGCCCCATGACCTGTAAGCAAAGGGGTTGAGGGCAGTATGCCTCACCAGGCAAAGTTGAGCAGCATTTTTATATGGACTTTCTATAGCAGAGACTGAAGCAGCACACCTGCCCTTCTTTTCCCATGGGATCTCAGTCCGCCGGATCCCCTGTCCCCGACCCCTGCCCGGTGTCACCATGGCCCAGCCATGCCCAGCTGGGGCACCCCTGGTGTCAGACCATGGCCTTCAAGAGCACTAGGGGATATGCTCTTGTCAGGGTAATGGGCTGACTTGGTGATGGAGGGAGAACCTCCTGAGAAGTTTGTGGCCAGGGCCGATGCAGGGGCTCCGAGGGGAACCTCCTATCCCATATGTGAATATCTCTGTATGTATTTGTGTGTACTCGTGGGTCTGTATCTCTGTTTCTTTGGGAGGATGGGGGTGTAGCTGTGAGATCTTCGAGGGTGTGTGTCTCCATGGGTCAGCTGCAGAGATGGGGATTTGGTTTGAAGAGAAAGCATTCTCTAGTTCCCTTTGTACAAACCATTCAGTTGCTCTGAGGCTACAGGGTACAGGCTGGATCCCCCCAACTGGGTGAGATGTCACAGAGCCGGAGCAGGTCCAGGGTAGGAGAATTTCAGTGGGCATGTGTGCTGGGGAAGATGGCGTTCAAAGGGACAAGGGCCTGGGCCGTAATACCAGCCTATCCCCCCGAGCCGGGGATCTCTCCCGGTCCGTGTTGCCCCACTAGCTCCCTGCTGTCTGGCCTGGCTGGGGTAGTCGTGTAGCGATGCACACCAGGGCTGCTTCCCTTGGTGCTCGTGCGTGCCTGCTGTTCAGCCTGCCTCCTACTCACCTTGTAGGTTTGCCAACCCACCCACCTACACGATGGCTCCCGCAGATCTCAAGTGGACCGTTGGCCCTCATCCCCAACTTTCGCACCTAGCCCTGACTCTTACGCCAAGAAGACAGGAGCCAGCGGATGTGAGCGCCCCTGCCACTTCTCCTGTCTCTGCCTGGCTCCTTGCTTCTCTCTTTCCTCCTCCTGAGGAAGCATCAGCCGATCCTCTCTTAAGTGAACCTCTCTCTGCTTAAGCCCTCCTTCCCCTTTGAGTTAGCTCACCTCTCTCAAGCCAAATTTGGGGGTAAGGCTAAGAGCTAGGACACATCAGCCTCAGAAACAATTCTGTTATCTGGTGAATCTGGTTAGTGTGAATTGGTGCCTCGGGCCCTTAGCTATGTCCTCAGTAAAAAAAAAAAAAAAAAAAAAAAAAAAAAAAAAAAAAACCACTTGACCTAACCACCTCCCCAGATTTTTCTCTCTCTTCTTCGGGTCACTGCCAAGCCTCTGAAGTCTTCTCCTACCCTCTTCTTGTTCTTCCCCTTTCCCTCCTTGGGAAGGAACCATTTATGGGCATGCAGGTGCATTTATCACCTGTCTCCAGCACTTGGTATCAAAACGCTTTTTTCTAATATAATCAGTTTATCAAGACAAATTGCTGATGGTGGAAAGTGAAACATCCCACAAGAGTCACCTGTAAAAAATTTGCACGATGGTGCTGCATGGGTTAGGGGTGGCCCTGCCTCCCCCAATTCCACAGAACTCATCAGCTGAAGGTCATTGATACCCTCACAGTGACGTCAGATGTCTTCTTCACGGTTCTGGGTCCCCATGAGCCTTCTCGGCTCATGACACTACTTACTACCCCCTCCCGCACTAGCTGGGCTCTTGTGCTTCCCCCGCTGCCTGCTCTGCTCCCTGTGCCTGGGCTGGCTCCATGTCTGCCACCTGCCACCGTGAATGTGGGTGCGCCCCCCCCCCCAAGGGTTTCACCCGTTCTCCTGGCTCTAGCTTGGCTCTTTGGGAATGGGTCTGGAGTTGAGAGCAGCAGCCCCTACTACTGTCCTCGGCTCCTGCCTGCTGGACATTTCCATCCAGACGCCTGTCGTGCCCCAAAGCCAGCCCCTCTATCAGAAATGAATTGTGAAGTCTTTATATACATCCTGGACTTTATTTTTTTTAAGATTTTATTTATTCACGAGAGACAAAGAGACAGGCAAAGGCATGGGCAGAGGGAGAAGCAAGCTCCAATGCAGGGAGCCCAATGTGGGACTCGATCCCCGGACCCCAGGATCACACCTTGAGCCGAAGACAGACGCTCAACAGCTGAGCCACCCAGGCGTCCTTACATACTGGACTTTAGAGTCTTTCCTTACACACACACACACACACACACACACACACACACACACACACACACCACCTTTCCCCTCAAAAAGCCAAAGGAAAAGCTTTCATGACTTGCCTACTTCTATGAATCATACCACCATTTTCCTGACCTTCTAAGCTTGACATTTCAGAGCCATCTGATGGCCGCCTTCGTGTGACCCTGTCCCCTCCCCCGGCTCCTGAAGTCAGACTGTTTGCCACATCTCTGACATCTAGCCTTTCTTCCACATTCCCAGAGCCTCCAACCTGGCTCACACCCGGAGCTCGTCCCCGCTCCCAGACACATCACCACGCCCCGCACCGTGACCTGTCTCACCCCCTCCAATCTGCCAGGGCACCAGCTCTGTTCTTTTCTCTGCTAAAAAGCCTCCGGTGGCGCCCCATAGCCCCATAGCCCATTGGTGGAGGTGATGCTCAAGATAGGGAGCTGCCAGGCTGTTCTGGGCAGCTGGGCATTAACCCCGTATTTGCTGAATCTCGATGCAGTCCAGGGGTCTGGGAGGAGGGCTCAAGGCTTTCATTTCAAGTCGTTGACCTGACAAGGCCCTTCCCCATGAAGTCCCCTGTCATCTCTCACTTCGTTTCCCTGACCCCCAAAGTCGTGCTTCAGTCAGAGTCAGGGATTTGCTGTCCTCCGAGCGGGCCTCTGTTCCAAGTTTCTCACTTTTGTGGTTTCGCTTTACTTGGTTATGCTCGACCAGGATGCTCCTCACACCTTGCTGGTACCGATTCAATCATATCCATCCTCTAAGACTGTGGAAGCTGCTTCCCCAGACCAGCCTACCCTTACGTGAAGTCTTTTGTTTTAGATTTGTGGCAAATTGCCACTCTTTTGGCAACTGATCAAGAACAGCCTGTGACATCTCCTGTGTTAAGATCACAAACTGTTACTTAAATCTTCATGACCTGGACCTATTTTGTCTCCGCAGTTAGTGTGTTACCTTCTGAGGGCAGGGGGGGCTGTATCACCCGCAGAGCAGGGCGCACTATGAAGCATCTAGTGAGCACCAGCAGATATCATGGGTTGAACTAAGCTGGTGAGAGAAGGGGACCAAAGTCTGAGGCTGGTGACCTCTGTCTGACCTTCCCTCTGCATAGACACTCACTCTAGGTGCTCCACTGCCCAGGGCCAGGCCTCCCTGGCTCAGTGCCCTCATAGTATCCTCACTCCCACCCCCCAGCCTGGCACCCAAGAGTTGTTACTACTTTGAACATCCCCTGCCCCTAAAGAAACTTCCCTGTCCAGTTTCTTTCCTAATTCAAAGTGTTAAATTAGCTAATCTGGTCAACTAACCTGTGCTGATCAAGTTATGGGAGAGGGCTGGAGGAGACCCTCAGGAGACAGGTGCATTTGCACCAGAGCCACAGGGCAACAACATCCTTGCCTTTGTGATGGTGTGTAATGGAGTCAGGAGACACACTCCTCACCTGCTAGCAGCCGATGTATTACTCTTCCTCTGGGCTCCCACAGCACTTTGTGTATACCTCTTATTGTAGCACTTAGCACATGGTAGCTCCTTAGCTATGTGTTTATGTACGTTTCCCCTCCAATAGACTGTGAGCTCCTCAAGGACAGGGACTGTGTGTTAGTCACTGATGTATCCCCAGCGCCTAGCACAGTGCCTGGCACACAGTAGGTGCTCAATAAATGTTTATTGAAAGAACGAATGAATTTTGTCTCTAATCATGGGGATTTCAGCCCTAGACTGTGACAGGCAAAAGGGGGAGGAGCAAGGCAAGCCACACTTGAGAGCTTTCACAGCTTTTTGGCCCTTCATGTAACACTGCAGGCAGCTGCTTCCTTCTTCCTTGCCCAGGCCTAGGCTCCCCCCGCAACAGGGTCCACGGGGAGCCCTAGACCGCCATCAGCTGTGCCTCTCTCTGACCCCATAACGTATTTTTCAAGAGGCGGTTGTCGCTGTTTCCAAAGCCGTGACCCGGGGTGGGTGAGCTCATTCCCCTCTACCAAGGCCGAGAGGCCCAGAAGGTCGCAGCCTCCGAGAGCCTCGGCCCCAGGGGCGCCGGGCGTAGGGACCAATGTCCAGCAGGTGGCGCTGTCGAGCTGGCGATGCGGGGCTGACGGCCCAGCAGAGCCCGGGAATGGAGAGGCGGCTGGGGTGGGGCCGCGGTCTTCCCGTCCCTCCCGCCGGACTGCGCCCCCGATCGTCCCTGGGTGGCTCCAGCCCCCACCCAGGCCTTCCAGTGCTCCCGAGCTTCGAATTTCCCCTCCCGGACCCCACCCCTCCACTTTCCAGGGAGCTTTTAGCTGGGGCCGAATGCCTTCTCCCCATTGGCCGGTCGCGCCCGCCCCCCGCAGCGGTCCCCTCCCCCAGCCTCCTGGACCGGCAGGTGAGCACGCGGCGGCCCCGGCCGGCGCCGCTCCCGGTCCCCCCACGGCGGCCGCCTTAGCTGCACACCCGCGAGGCGCCGCTTTCCACCTCGAGATCAGAGAGCGAGCGCGGCGTCCGTTTGCGGGCGGAGGGCCCCGACCGCCGGCGGCGTGAGCCCGGGCGCCCCGCGGCGTGCCAGCTCCCCTCGCGGTGGCCCCCGGGGTCTGGGGAGCACGAGCGGTCCCGGCCCGCCCCGCTGCGGGGTCCCGAAAGCCGGAGCAGCTACCTCCCCCGGGCCGCTAAGCAGGCCGCCCCAAGGGCGGACCCCATTCTCCCTACCCCCCCCCACTCTCGTCTTAGCGGGGGCGGGACACAGCCGAACACTCAGCAATCTTCCCTGTTGCAGGTTAGATTATGGAAGGGACACTAACTGCCCAAATCAACCCCCCTCCAGCCCAGGTGGGGACGCAAGGGAAGCGGATGGTCCTTTCCCCGGAAGTACGGAGACTTGAACAGGGCCTCCCTTTAACCCTGCACCCCAAAGAGGAACATTCTGGTAAAACCATCATTAACTGTAGGCCCACGACCTCGGTGCGCAGGAGGAACTAACTTCAGCTAAACAACGCTGTTTGCTCCGTAGGATTCTCTTCCTTGGTGGGTAAACGGAGCCCTGCTTGGCAGATGGAGCAAGGAAGACAGAACGATTAGGTTCTCACCGGAGGTCAGCCTAGGTGGTAGGTGCTGAGCTGGAGCTGGCTCCTTCCCCTCGGCCTCACTGGAAGGATGAAGAGATCTGTTGGAAAAGAGGCCACTCCCCTCACCCCAGTCTGGAGCAGGGATGCAGGCTTAGTATCACAGCCCATACCCCCTGCCCTGATCTTCCCACATTGGCAAAGGGGCAGTGAGATGCTCTAAGGAAAGGTGTGGGGACATGAGCCTGAAGACAAGAAAACAAGGAACTGCTGGTTGGTTTTGCTTTTAACTTGCCTCCTTTCTGCAGGGAAATGAAGGGGCCTGTGTGACCACACACCTGAACCCAGATGCCCATGGCTGTCCACAGCTCCCCAAAGGACCCTGGCCTAATCCCCTGGGGTCACTGTGACACTGCCCGTGGCATCTCGCTCTCTCTTAAATGGAAGCCTGAGTACCCTCACCACTCTCCCTTCAGCCTTTCTTCTGAATCTCAAGCCTTTCCTTTCTTCCTCTCCATCTGACCTACCTCCAACACACTTTTACAAGTTCATTAAAACAAAAACAAAACCCCTCTCATTACCCAGTTTAAAGTTTTCCCATGGTTCCCCATCACCTAAGGCAAAAGTCCCAAGCTGTGCTCCTTGGCACACCTGGCAGGACTCATACCCCTCCCTCCCCATCTGTCCCTTCCAGCTGCAGTGACACTCAAGTGGGTTGGAGTTCCCTGCACACACTACTCTCTTGTCTCTAAACCTTTTCCCCAATTGTCCCCTCAGTTCAGGGACTCTTCCTGGCCACCCCTAATTCCTATGTTTCTACTAAAGTGTCAACTGGGCAGCCTCTCTCCCGGAAATCCTTCCAACCACCCCAGTGCTCTTGCTCATCCCTTTGAACTGAATCCTTGCACTCACCACATAGCTTTCATGACCTTTTGACACGGCGGATTTCTTGACTGCAAGTTACAGAGGACTGAGCTAAAATCAGTGTTGTGAGGTTGTTTGGGAACATGAGAAAACAACTATTCCAGGAGGACAAGATCAGAAAGTGGGTAAGCAAAGGCCAACAAGGAAAATTAATGTTGTGGCTCAAAGAACAGATGGATGTTCCTCCGTCTGGGCAGAAAGACCTGGCTCGAAGCATGCTCCTTGGGGCCTAGGTAAAGGGCAGCTCACAGTTCACTCCTGGGGTTGGCTAGACTACAGTTGGCCAGACCCATAGATCCCCTCACCTGTACACTCACAGGGCTCTCCAGAGAGTTAAGCCCCAGGGAGAGGTTCTAGGAATATAGCTGAAACATTCCGGACTTGTCGAACATCCCCTTCCCCTCAACCAGTAATGGGTACATTCTGGAGGCAGGAGTCAGAAGGAATTGGAGTTTCTACCACTGTTTTTCGTAAGTGGGAAACCTGTGCAGGTGAGCAGGGGGAGCACAACAGTGAGGGCAGTGATAAGACTGTGGTCAGATGTCGATGTGGGTGGCCCAGGGCAAGAGAGCCGGCAGGCAGGTGATTTCCTTGACTTAAAGAGGATCATTCCGTATAGTCACCTAAAAGGGCTCCTCCTTCCAGTCCTGCTACTCCTAAAGCAAACAAGCAACACACACGCATGCACGCACGCGCGCACACACACACGCACGTGTGCCTGAATGGATACAGGTCAAATTCTCCCCACCGCTCCCCTCCCCTCAGGATGTGCCCCTGCCTTCTTTCTTTCCAGATCTTGCCCCAGTGGCCCAAATGTTTACCAGCCCCGTCACCTTGTCCTCCTTCATCATACCCAAACTGCAAGGCAGGATCGGGAGGTTTCCCAGGACTTCATCAGGACACCCGTCTGTTTTAACCACAGAGAATCCAATACGGGGAGCAGAGTAAAGACAGGAGACAGAAGCCCTGACACAGGTTTTTCAGTATGCAAGTGTTTTTGACTCCACAGCCAGTTGCTTAAAATGAAACATAAAGGGCAGCCAGAATACACACCCAAATGCAAAAAGGTAAAGGCAAACATAAAATAAACCACACGATACCATGAACCCCCACAAAACCAAAAAATTAAAACCCAAAACCCCTCAACTTTATATATATATATATTTTTTTAAAAAGGGAGAACAACTGTTCAAAACCAACTGGGCAGTATGGTGGGGGTGGGGAGCAGTCCTACAGAAGGGGGCCGAGAACATCCCCCTGGGAACAAAGAACAAACACAATACAAAGAAAATAACCACCAATGCTCCTGCATGGGTCAGGAGTCTCCAGAGAACAGATTGTCCCATCCTCAAACTGGCTTTTTTTTTTTTTTGCCTTTTTTTTGTCTTTTTTTTCCATTTTCTTCTTTTGTTGTTGTTGTTTTAGCACCTGTACAATAAAACTGTACCATCTCCAACCAGAGCCGGCCACAGTGAGGCCCTCCTGCCTTTGGATGGTACATACTCTCTACAAGGATTGTTTGGAAAAAATAGCAATTGGTAGAAAAATAAGAACAAGAGTAGGAAAGACAATGCCACAGAGGGGGCAGGGACAGGGAAAGGGCCCAAGCTCCTCCCTCTCGCCCTCTCTCTCCCAGAACAAATCCAGCACTGGAGGCCAAAAGGGAGGCCCACCAGGGCCACACAATCAGCCCTGGGTCCCTCGGTGGAAGTGGAACCCAGCTGGAGCCCTGCCTCCTGCCCTCGCCCAGGAAACAGCTGAGGCCTGGATCTCACATCTGGCAATCCATCCCTGAGCCCTCTGCAGATTCCACAGGAGGATGGGGGCAGGAGAAGCAGGGAGCAGAGAGGAAGGGGTTGCGGAGTCTGGCAAGGGGGAGAGGTGAGGGTCAAGGGCTGGGGGCTGAGAGGCTCAGCATCCAGAAAGGGTGAAGGCAGAAAGGGGCAGGGTGGCTGGAGGAGGCGGCGGGTGGGGGGAGATGTGGGAACAAACCCATATTGTGCCCTCTGAGGGGAGCAGTGAAGGAAGTGTGAGGAGGGGGAGACCTCAGCCTTTGGGCCCATTCTTGACTCTCCCCAAATACAGTAACCCATGAACCCCTCCCCCTCACAACCCACCCCTCCCCAGAAACACTCATCTCAATATAGTAGGGCTGCTGCAAAGGGCAAGTGGTGAAACAAGAAAAAAAATGGGGGGGGGAGGGAAGCACCAAAGCCTCAGGATTACCCTCACCCCCCAGCCCCAGGCCAGCACCAGCCACCTTCATTAGTCATGGGTCCTGGGGGGGGGAAGCCCCCCCACCTCTCCTGCCCCCTCCCCAGTGGGGTGAAAACAAACCTGGGCATCACTTTGTCAGAGGGAAGGGGCAGCTCCAGAGCTGATCAAGAAAGACGAAGAAAGGAGGTGAAGAAAGTCCCTCAATTCAACAAGTTGTCTCAAATCGTCACAGTGATACAGACTTATCAGAAACCAATGAAACAATACAAATTAAATACTAATAAAATAAATACTATGGAAGACAGAAGAACACAGGGGAATGGAGGGGGCGCTCAGAGATTTGGGCTTTGCTCATTTCTCCTCCGGACAGGCCAAGGCCACCCAGGGCCCACGTGTGGTCCTGTTCATACACCAGGAGGCCAGTCCAAGGGACCCTGGCGCCACCTCCCAAATATCCCCAGGACCTCTTGCCCTCAGACGTGAAGTTCAACTTTCCACCCCCATCACCAACCACAACAACAAAGACGATGACAGGGAGATGAGAACTAATCATAACCGGAAAGAACAAAATCCAGTCACTAATGCTGGCATTGATAAGGCGGCTTCTTGTTGGTCCGTATTATTGCCTCATTCTGCAGTCTGGTGCTCGGTGGGGGGGAAAAACATGGGAGGTGGGGAAGGGCGAACTTGGGAGGAGAAAGAAAAGGGAGGGGCTGTGTCCCCGTCAACTGTTCCAAGGCTGGAATTCCACCTCGGACCCCAGGAGCCGAAGGAGCTCGGGCTCGTACCGCACCAGCTCCACAGTCTCAGAGGAGCCTGGAGCGGATCTGTCGTCCATGCCTCCGGGCCTCTCGGCTGGGGTCAGAAGCTGACTGGAGGCCACCTGCCGGTAGAACTCAGCCTTGGGCAAGGTGGCAATTTCAAAGTGCGGGAACCGAGCCTGAAAGATCCTGGAGGAAAGCTTCAGCCTCTTCAGGACGTCGGTAAAAAGGAACCAGTTGCAGGGCCTGGAAGAGGCAAGAGTGGGAGTTAGGGAAAAGGGTTGGGGGGAAGCAGTGGGGTGCTATAATGCCGGGGCAGGTTGCCAGTCCGGCTACTCCCCACCAAACTCAACCAAGGGTGCCTGGCATGTCGCTGAGGCAAACTCTCCCTTTCCCTACAGTGGCCGAACCATCTTTCAGCCCAGTCACGGGGCCCTCAACCCCATGACTGACCTCTCCCCAAAAAGTGGGAGAGCAGGAGGGAAAGGGACCTTCCAGAACCTAAAAGTCAGAGGAGGCAGCCCCAGGCCTTCCACCACACCCCACAACCTGGAATTCACCATCTGGGCCAGTTCTTCCCCCCAACCAACCCCTGCTACCCCCACCTGGTCTCCTTTCCTTGTTCTCACTCCTGCTTCCCCTGCCTCCCCTTGTTCTCCGAGACCTTCCCCAACAGACGGGGAGCCGTGGAGAAAGGCCTAAACTGCGGGTAATCTAAAAGGCATTTCTCTTTGGCTCTGGAATGCATTAGACAAGTTTTTTCTCCAGCGGCAGCACCGTCCTTTCTGCAGGGCCAGAGCTCACGTTACAGCCAGGCTGACTTTGCTGAGCACACCAGCCCGGTGGCGGTGGCGGCCTGGGGACAGCTGGGAGGGGTGCTGGGGAGGCCGCTTAGGGGCCATGCGCTCCCTTTGACCAAACCAGGAAGACATACTGCATCCCCATGTTAACGGTCTCCATTCCAAGGCGTTCCCCCCTCCCATTGCACTGTCCTGCTCCCAGCGTCCCCATCGGCCTCTAAACTGGTTCCCCTCTGCCAAGAGTCACTCTGCTGCACCCCCACCCACCCTCATTGGATCGATCCTCTGTTACTATTTGTTTTCTACAAAGAAAATCTGACCTTCTCACTCTCTGAACTGCTTTCGATGGATCCCCAGTACCTCCAGCAATAAAAAACAAAAACCAAGACAAAAAAAACCATCCGAATTCTTTACCACGATATTATTACAAGACCTTTCTTTTTTTTTATTTGACACAGAGAGAGAAAAAACAAGCACAAGCAGGGGGAGCAGCAGAGGGAGAGGGAGATGCAGGCTCCCCACCGAGTAGGGAGCCCGACGTGGGACTCAATCCCAGGACCCTGGAATCATGACCTAAGCCTAGGGCAGATGCCCCTATAAGATCTTTCAAACATGAACCCATTCAACCTCTTCAGCCCAATCTCCCCCCATAACACATACACACACACTCATGGTCACACACACAGTGTATCACCCACCTCTCAAGTGCCAGCCATTTGATGGATAAGCTCTGCTATCTAAACTTTCTAAACTTGTAAGCCTTTGCTTGTCCCATGCCCTCCATCCATATCCTCAGCCCAGCTTAGATGCTGGATCACCTGTGAAGCCTTTCCCCATGAAACTGGTCGCTCATCCCATCTTCCATAGTCTCATGGCACTTGGTTCACATCCCTTTTATCATACTTCTAACACAGCTCGTTTCAGAAAGGATACAAAAGCCATGTAAACTGCGGTTCTCTCCGTGGCACAGGAATGGGGGGTAGGCTGGGGTACCTGGAAGGGTAGACTGGAACTTCTACTATTTGCCTGATACCTTTCTGAACTGTGTGACACTTTTATAATAATAAATCTGCTTTAGAAATTTTGTCTTTTATTAGAGCTGATTGCATACTTGTCTGTATCCTCCACTAGACTGGAGATTTTTGAAGGCTATATTTTGGCCCTCATGGATTGACCTGGTGTGCCTGCTGAAGACAGTTATAGAAGCGAGTGTCTTGCAAGACACATACCACTTCTACCCAGACCCACACTCCTTCTCCCTAAAATGCAACACTCTCCCCAGTGACAGTAAATGCTCTTCTCACACCATCAGGAAATGGGGTGCTCTGGGTTCAGAGAAAAGGACTACAGATACCATACATTTGGACCATCACTTTCAAACAGTGGAAAAGAAGCCCCTGAACATTAACAGTTGGTAATCAGAATTCAGCTTTGCTTTGTTGATTCCGAAGGCAGTTCTGAACTCTGCAGGGCCTCAAGGTCATCATTCTACACCCTCCCTACTTCTTTTAAGATTTTGTTTATGAGAGAGCGTGCACACACACACACGAGTGCACACCTACCAACACAGGAGTGAGGAGTGGGGGGAGGAGCGGGGGTGGGAGGAAGAATCCTAACCAGACTCAGGGCTGAGTGCAAAGCCCAACTGGGAGTTCAATCTCATGACCCAAAAACGAGAGTGAGGAGCTCAACCGACTGAGTCACCCAGGCGCTCCTACACCCTCCCTACTTCTTGAAGAACCTACATTTCCCATTGTGCTGCAGCTGTGGGGAAGGAAAGATTCAGAAGAGGCATGGGAGGACTTAACATCAGGAGAACCAGCTCTGCCTGTGCCAAGGTCTCAACTGAAAACCTGCTTGCTGCCTGGCTTGCTGAGTGGCAAGTGGCTCTCGGTTGCCCTGTGTTCCATCCACACCTAACGCACACTACCCTGGTCCTTTTACTGCCTGGGTCCCAAGATCCTGTTTCAGAGAAGGAGGTGCTGAATACTCTGGAGGAATTAATTAACTGTGCAATACTATATCCCAGAGGCTCCGCCCTGCCCTCAGGGATCAACTGATGCCCAGAAGAATAAGGACCTAAAGCCCCTGAAACTTGAAGCCAACTAGTATCATCATATAGGCTATTTTTATTCTTATCAGGCCCTGGGGGAAGGGATGCACAGAAACTGGTGGCCAAATGGTTAGAGTTGTCAGATTGGAAGGGACTCACATGAAGGGCTCCTAACCCCTTGCCCACCCCTCTCCAACCCATGTGCACTTTATGTGCTTTCATTTTTTGAAAAAAAAAAACAAACAGGGTCTGATATTTTAAAAATAGATATCAAAGAAAAAGTCTCCTTAAGAGTGTTTACAAAGGTATTTAAACTATGTGAAGACAGCAAGGAGAAGAAAACACTTGATGATGGACGCCAAGAACAAGAGGACAGTCCATCCAGCATCCTCCCAAGCAGCACTGCCACGCTCTGTCACCCGGTGAAAGCCGGCCAGAACCATGGCCCTGCAGGCTGTCTGATCCCCTTCTGGACCATCAAACACAGATTAGACTGGGTTCCATCTAATGGTGTCAGGTATAGTCTAGTCCCCGAAGCTGGGTGACACCCGTTAATAACATACACAGTAATCTGAGAGGACAGTGCTGGTGCCATCACCTCACCAACATGAAGGCTATGAGAAAGCAGCCTGTGGATTACTTAAGGACCCCAGCAGCCCCTTAGCTATGGCAACCATATGTTGTGGCTTTTCCAAGAATCTCAATTTCAAATATTCTGTCTGGCTGTTCCCAGAAACCACAAAAATGTTCCAGAGATTCTAATAGTTCATCAGCCCAAATATCTCCCATATCATCTCTTACACCCAGGAACAGCAGCAGGATCCTTCAGAGAGCGAATCTAGATTTAGGGTTTGGGAAATACATATAGTCAGTATATCTAAAGTTTACAGCCTCTGTTCTGAACATAACTGACCAGGGTGGGAAAGCCAGGCTGACCTTGGTCATAGGGCATCTTTCCCAAGCTCGAGCGTTTGTTCACCAGGTGGCTGCTTCCTTCTGGAGAACTCTATCCTTCCCAGGGAGGCAGGCCAGGAGTTGCCAGGATCCTGGCACTCGGTCCCTCGAGATCTCTTAGACACTTACCCGCGGGACACTGACACTTGGAGGTTGTAGCAAGGGAGAAGAGGCTTGTCTGAGAGCTCAAACATAAAATCATCCTCTTCCACATCATCTCCTTCTTGATCAGAGTTCCCAGGAGGGTTATGCAGGAGGTCACAGGCAAAGCCATCTTTTTCCTCTGTAAGGAGAGCACATAGGATATTAGGACTTCGCTACATGCACAAAACTAAAAAGAAATGCTCCAACAAGAAAAGAGATGTAAAGGTGGGTGATTAGGATTTAGACACCAAACCCACACACCCCTGGTCGGGGCCCAGTTTTGCTGATCCCACGGCTGATCCCAAGGGTGGGAGGGCACATGAAAGTTCTATCCCTAGAAGACATTATTTTGTGGCCAGAAATTCATTATCCTCCTCCACCTTTCAGTTGGAAAAAAGCCAGGTGATGTAAAGGGTGACTTGCTCGGCTGTTGGAGATGAAGCCTGCCGATACAACCAGCAGTCAAAGGCAAGGTAGAAACACCTGCCCAGCCTGCTGGGCTCTCAGAAGCCCGGAGGGGCCCCTCAGCCAGTTCTCTTCCCCAGCCGGCATGTCTGGGTGTGGTTCAGTTCATTCCATCCCAGCCTTCTCCCACTCCAGCCTCCCCGGGGCTCGGGGTGGGCACCTCCCCCAATCTGCGGCCCTGGCCCAAGGGATGAGTGCTAGCTGACGGTCACAGATAAAGATTCTCCCAAGAGAGGAAAGCCTGGATCAGGGGCTAGGGCTCCGGAGACAGCAGCTGCCTCAGAAAGCGTGTGTGGTGGGGGCAGGGCAGGGAGGGCTTGAGAGTGGCCAGGTGAGGGGCTGGGGCTCTTGTAAACAACGCCAAAAGAGAGGATGATGCACACAGAGGCTTCTGGCAGTGTTAAGACAAAACAAGGGAGGAGGAGGGCACCTGGGGGACAGAGAATGAAAACAATACCCAGAGCAGAAGTGGGAGAGGGCTACTGAGGGGTGACTTTGTGGCATCAGAGTCCAGGGGGAGCATGGGCTAGGGTTTGCATTGAAAGGGTCTGTAAGTTACCAACAGGTGGAGAAAGGCTGCCTCCACAGGGTCACTCCTGTCTTTGAGAAGAATCCAGGAAACCCAAAGCCACCCCCTATCTCTGAGCCTCTGAGCCATAGACAAGCATGGGAGGCATGGGAGGAATCTGACTCCAAGCTTACCCAACACAGAACTGCTGTAAAAGTCCCAGGACACGCCAGGGTCACCCTCTGCCCGGCCCTGAAGATCTGAGAGGTGATCTGATGAAAGAAGAGAAGGCAGTGAGACAAGGAGGGTAGGCCGCAGAAGAATCTAGAAACAAATTGTGTCCATAGAGGGCTAGGAGGATGGGAGAAGGGAAGGAAGGACCACAAGAAGGCCTGGGAGCTACCAGAGAGAGATGTTTCCTGCTATTGATTAGAGGTTGCTAAATAGCAGATAGGAGCCAAATCTAGCCCACTGACCACCTGGGGTGTGGCCCAGTGTTTTAAACCAAAAAAAAAAAAAAAGTTAATTAACGTCAAAGATTTTAAAATTGAGATATTTCACTTAAAAATCCAGATTTCCAACTTTTCTTGAAAAAAAAAAATCAGAAAATCTGGCAACACTGCGTCCCACATTCCTGCATGTCAACAGTTGGCTGGAGGCAGAAGCGACATGTGCGTGCTCTGCTTCAACAGTCCCCACCCAGCCTGCTCTGCTCTCTTACATGATCAGCCTAAAGGCATTTAGGTCTGTGATCCCTACTTTCAGTGGTGTAGGGAATGGACTCTGCCAGCAGAATCTTAGACCTATCCCAAGATTTCAATTTCCCGCAGGTTACAATGTTCACATAGCCAATCAGGATCTCTCCAATTCAAAGTAAGATAAGGCAGCATAATTCCTTCTGTTTCATCTTTGAAAAACATGGGGGAGAGGGCCAAGTTTATCCTCATAAAAACCTTTTGCTTCCACTCCTAGGTATATAACCAAAAGAATTGAAAACAGGTGTTCAAACAAAAACTTATACACAAATGAATGTTCATAGCAGGTCTACTCACAATAGCCAAAAAAAAAAAAAAAAAGTGGAAATGACCCAAATGTTGTTAAGCTGATGAAGGGATAAACAAAACACGGTCTAGCCATATAATGGAGTGCTATTCAGTTGTAAAACAAAACAAAACAAAACAAAAAACAAAACAACAAAGTACTGATGTGCGCTACAACATGAACGAACCATTACACTAAATGAAAGAAGCCAGTATATGGCCAGACACAAAAGGCCATATACTGTATGATTTCATGTATATAAAACGTCCAGAATCTAGAGAGACAGAAAGACTGGTAGTTGGAAGGGAACAGGAAGTGACTGCTTAATAGTTGCAGGGTTTCCGTTTGGGGTGATGAATGCACTTAATGTCACTCAATTATGCACTTGAAGATGGTCAAAAATAATGCATTTTTCGCCATAAGTATTTTGCCATAAGTATTTTGCCGCAATAAACACATTTTAAACCACCTTCTCTTACTTGGCCTGGGGACAGACAGCAGGTTGCCCCCTCGCCTCCTCATTTCCTGGCTCAACAGCACCTAGGCCATTGTCTCACTGTGCAGCCCCACATGGGCAAGAAGCATTTTCCTGACAAATTCAACTGTGTCATCTGCGGGCACATGGCCTGGTGGTTGCCAATATGCCACCTCGCACGGCTGGCAAGCTGATTGAGCTCTGTGTGGTTGCTACGTGCCCTCAAGTGACACCTGGGAGAAAGGACAGGCAAGAGTCCAAAGTGTACAGGTGATGTGAGGGTGCCCTCGGGAAGCCAAACCCCAGCAGGAATGTGGCGGCTGCTCCTCAAGGCACAAAGCTAGTTTCCCCCGTTGAAAGGCGCCGCTGCACTATATCCTCTCCTTTTGGGTCACACATGCTATCAGCAAAAATGCCTATTGGCTGTTGTGAGCTACTGAAAGAAGTAACTTTTTAGCAACCTTCTAGGAGATGAAGGGTTTCTTCTTGTAGGAAAAAGCCGCCAGAGAGAGCTTTCAAAATACTGGCTGAGCAGCTACGGGGGAAAACCTTTAGTCACGTACAAGAGATCTTTTTTTACGTACTCTGCAAAAAAAACTCTGGAGGTCATGACTGCCAGTTTATGTGCTTTTCTGTACCCCATGTCCCTTGGGAGTTGGAAGGGGTTTCTTCCAAAAGCATCAGTTAGGCAGATGCCCATTCTGTGCCTGGCCTTGTGCTAGGTGTCCTGGGAGACAGTGGCACAAGATCGTAAGTTGCCAAGATGCACAGACCATGCCTGTCTTGTTCATCATGATCTCCCCATGGCCTAAACCCGGGTGCCTGGCACGTAGTAGGAGTGTAATAACTACACAGGGAAAAGAGGGAGGGAGGGATGACTACAAGGTGACACCAAAAAGTAATATACTTGCTTAAGCAGCACAGGCCAGAACACGCGGTCCTGATGACTGCTGACCCCACCCCCAACTGCTGGGAGGCCACACGACAACTCCATCACAGCAACCCTAGCTCACCACATTCCTGGGGCTCCTCTCTAGGGCCTGCCTTCGGAGCACCCCTGCCCGCCCCACTCCCCCAGCACATGCCTTAATGCTCCTGCCAGTGAATCTTTGTCATCTGCAGGTGGATCTGCCTTCTGGAAACAGCCCAACGTGAGTGGGCAGGAGCAGAGATGCAGACACAGGAGCAGGCCCACGAGCCACACACAAGAAACTTGACTTGCCCTCCCACAATGTTCAGTCCTTTACTCTTTTCCCCTTCTTCAATACAGGCCCTCAGCCTGGCAGCCCCGCCCCCCCGGGTATTTATCCAAAAGAATGGAAAACTCACACCATTCCCTGACAGATTGTGTTCCCAGCAGCACTAGTCGCAATAGCTGAAAGGCAGATACAACCCAAATGTCCACCAGCTGATGAATGGATACAGAGAATGTGGCAGAGCCGGACGACGGCATACTATTCAGCTATCAGAAGGCAGGAAGTACTGAGACGTGCCACCACGTGGATGGACCTTGAAAACGTGACTCTACGTGGAAGAGGTCAGAGGCGCAAGGCCCCACGGTGTGCGATTCCCTTGTGTGCCGTGTCCAGAGGGGACAAAATCACAGATAGGAAGTAGATGGGTGGTTGTTGGGGGGCTGGAGGGAATGGAGAACAACTGCTCATGGGCTGTGGTTTTGTTTTGGGGCTGATGAAAAGGTTTTGGAACCAGAGAGTGGCAGTGGCTGTAGGATGTTGTGAAGGCACTAAATGCCACTCAATTGCTCCCTTAAGTGGCTGATTTTACGTTCTGTGAATTTCACCTCGACAAAAGAAAATGTTTAAGTACTCACTGTGGGGCGGCCCCCTAGTCATCAGGGATTCTCTCTTCCTCACAGTCCCACCATACCACTCCTTGTGTCACCAAGCAAGTCACCAGCCCAAGGGACATGAAAGGAGGCCAAAACCAAAAACAATTGGTCTTCGACATGGGGTCACATGGCAGAGGTCTCCGGCAGGAAAAACAGAACTTGTGATGCAGTGACCCCAAGGGGTATCCTACTAACCCTTTCTTCGGTGAAAGGAAAAGCAGTCCCGATACTTCCCTGGAGGCCTCAAATTAAACGGCAGCAACTTCCCTCAGCCCCCACATTCTCTGACAGAAGAGGGACACAAATCTGTTTTCCCTTGACTAGTTTGGATATTATTCATTTCTTCAAAGGGTCAAAGGCAAATCAATCATATGCCTGCCTGTAATTTGGCTCAAGGAGGAGGTCTTCCAAAGACCTCCCCAAGGGTCTGGATGGCTTGGTGCTTCCAGCCTGAGGACAAGAGAGAAAGGGTCCACTGCCTGACCTCCGGTACCCAGTGCTATACCCAAAACCCAGCAGGGGTTCACTAACCACACAGATGAATGAATGGATGAGGGGTGTCACCACACCGTTCCTGGTCTCAGGAGAAATGGGCCTCACTTTAAGTCAACTCAATACAGAAAAACCCACACTTACGACCCAGATGAATTGCCAGCATCTTCTGCTTTGCAAAAGGATTCACTACAGGATACTTGTAAATAGTGACATTCCTTTGTGTATTTAAAAGAGGATTCGATTCCCAGACTTTTCCAAAACAGCGGCCTCGCACAAAAGAGAGGGGAGCTCTACAGCAGGAGCAACACAGAGGCTCTTGCTCAGCTTTTCCACCTGCAGAAAATGGAGCCCTTCGCACCCTACAGGGATTTGCCTTCATCTTCTGCCCAGTGGGATCTCCACCAGGGGAGGAAGAAGACAATTAATCTACAGAGAGTCTGGTCAGGCAAATGCTTGGGGATGGAAAGCAAAAAGCTTTTTAAATACCTCAGCCAGAGAGGCAAGGTTAAAAAAAATAAATCCAGAAGTCCACCCAAATGCATCCAGGTTTAGGAGTTGGTGAGGTGAGGCAGTGAGGGAAACGCCTCCCAAACTTCCAACCCCATGGTGCCTCCTACAGCCACTATGCGGCCCTATCCAGTGGTTCTGTGAGATTTGGTGTGTGTGTGGGTGGGGGGGGCTACCAGGATTCAAAAAGAGAAGAAAATACTCCGTTCAAGGAATTAAGCTCCTAATGATGTGTATATGATATTGTGAATACTAAGTGCCACTGAACCATTCACTTTCAAATGGTTATACTAGGTGGATTTCACCTCAATTAAAAAAACCTGAGTATTGTCTTCTCATTCCCCCAAAACAGACTTTGGGCCCCAAGTGCCCTCTCGCAGGAGCCAGCTGACTCCTGCCAGTGACTGTCTCCCTGGGGTGTGGAGCCAAGGCCCTAGCCTGGCTTGCTAGCACTTTCCCAAACAGCCAGCCAGAGGTCTGCCTTTAACCAGCACTTGATATTTAATTTACATGGTCGAGAGGTGGCCCTGTTCTAACACTCCTTTCATTTCCTGGCCCCCACTAGGAGGCTATAGCTCAGTGCCTATGAAGTCGAGAAGCAATGTTAAGATCTGAATGAAGGTGTTTGGCCTGGACAGGCTACCAAGTGCCAGAATTAAGAAAAGTCTTCTCTTGGGGCACCTGACTGGCTCTGTTGGTAGAGCATGCAACTCTTGATCCTGGAGTTGTGAGTTCGAATCCTACATTGGTTACAGAGATTACTTAAAAATAAAATCTTAAAAAAAAGAAAAAAGTCTTTTCTTAACTCTGCAACGTGGGCTGGCATTCGGGTTAGCTTAAAGAGGCATCAAAAGGCTGGCTAGTAGTTGGAATTAACTAACAGAAATGAGAATAGGGAAAAATGTGTTTCTAAATTTTTAACTACTGAAAATGGTTTCAACATTTGAATTCCTTTGGGATTTTGGAGAACGGGTCAGGGAAGAAAAGAGTTTGTCCACTTACTAATGTGTTCAGAGATGGCTCTGTTTGGATCCAGAGCAGCCCAAGACCCCCAGGATGACAGTTTCTAGCCCCAAGAGAGGCCCCTGGATGAAATCTGTTGATCAGAGACAGAGCTTCATGCAGTGCTTTTATCACGTAGAGAAGTCCTAGGTGTTCATCAGTGCCAGCTTCTCCTGGGAATCAAGTTGAGTGTGTGTGTGTGTGTGTGTGTGTGTGTGTGTGTAAAACACTCCATGTGGCACATGGTATATGAGAAAAGGCCACAAAGTGTGTGTGTGTGTGTGTGTGTAAAACAGTCCGTGTGGCACATGGTATGTGAGAAAAGGCCACAAAGTGTGGCTTGTCCTGAGCCTGCGCTCCCATGATGGTGCACCCAAAGTAAACAAAAGTCATCACTAGCCCAGGACAAATGACAGAATGAGCATCCGCAAACTGCTCTGCCCTTCACGGACAGGGGCCTTGGACCTCAGAGCTGGGAGGAGGAAAAAGGCAGTCCTGCCCCTAAGCAGGGACTGGGTCCCAAAGGGAGGCCTGAGGCCTGTAGACAGTGACTATAGGGTTTAGTCAGGTTGACTGGAGACTAGATGAAGGCTGGCTGAGCAGGAGTCAAGGCCTCCCTCCACAGCCTCCCATCACTTTCCCTCAGTTTTTATTAGTATCAAGGTGGTGCTTCTCACCTAGTCCTCCTTCCATGGGACCTTTAGTTCACATTCCTTTGTTTCTCCCTCCATCATCAGCTATCTAGTTAATCTTTGTTCAGTAAATAAATTATACCCTGGTTGGGAGCCCTGAATTGGATCTTTGGGGAGGTGGGAATCCAGGACTAATGAGGGCCACAGCCTAGGTTGGAGTGAGTGGCCTTGGGCAAACCCTTGGTCCTATGGGCTCCCGGTCTAAGAGGGGTTCCCCCACAAACACAGGACCCTCCACACAGGGTCAATGAGACAACAGCCAGCTGCTTCATCTGTCCAGCACTCTGGCAGTCTGAAGAAGAAACTGCTAGAGCAAGGGCCGAGTTGTGATGTCACTAAGGAGGGGGAGTTCCTTTATCAGATCAAGTCTGAGGAGAATCCCAGTGAGCATGCCCATACTAGACGTCCGTCCTGCCCTCTGCCCTGCTGCCCGGCTCAGTAGAGCTATCTAACTATAGACAAACAGTGGCTCTCCACTAATGAGAAGATAAATGCATGTTGGCTTGTGGCCCTTGCCATAACGTATTTTTCTAGAGAGGCCAGGTGAGGGAGGAAGAAAAAGGAACGGGGTGCAGAGCGAACATCAGTGACCATAGGTAGGGGCTGTGAGAAATTGAGCATCAAGGGGCACCTGGGAGGCTCAGGGGGTTAAGCATTTGCCTTTAGCTTGCGTCATGATCCTGGGGTCCTGAGATCAAGCCCCTGGAGTCAGGCTCCCTGCTCAGTGGGGAGCCTGCTTCTCCCTCTCCCTCTGCCCTTCCCCGCTGCTCATGCTTGCTCTCTTTCTCTCAAATCAAATCTTTGATTTTATTTATTTATTCATGATAGACGCACACACAGAGAGAGAGAGAGAGAGAGAGAGAGAGAGAGAGAGAAGCAGAGACACAGGCAGAGGGAGAAGCAGGCTCCATGCAGGGAGCCCGACATGGGACTCGATCCCGGGTCTCCAGGACCACACCCTGGGCCGAAGGTGGCATTAAACCGCTGAGCCACCTGGGCTGCTCTAAACAAATAAAATCTTAAAAAAAAAAAAAAGAAACGCATCAGGATGGGTCCCAAGGGTTCCACTCTGATCACCAACAAGGAGAAAGTACAAAGACAAAGGTAAATGCTAAGTGTCATTTCTTTGTAGCTAACATCCCACTCAGAACTGGGGTCAACACATTTTGCCCCCAGCTCAATCTATCAGTGGGGCTGCACCTACCCCACATATCTCGCTGGGAAACAGGTCCCTGTGGGCTGCCATGTTCCTGAAGAGGATGCATGCGATATGGATGCTCATGGCACGGGAACAAGAGGAAGTGGACCTCTGGGCTTTTCAAAGTGTATAGAGATTTCTGAGACACTTCAAGGCAAGCCTGTAAAGAGGGCTGACGCCCCTCATGGGAGCTGTTTGAGATGGAGGGAGATGAAAGATATCTCCTCAGGAGTTCAGGAATCAGAGGCCAGCCCCAAGGATGATGGCTTCAAGCCCCGGCTGTGCTTACCGCTGAGAAAGCGCTTCATGGTGTCACTGCTGGCCAACTTCATGGCTGTCTGTCCCGAGTAGGTAGCCAGTGTGGGATCAGCCCCATAGGACAGCAAGAGCCAGATGGTCTCCAGGTTGTCATTGACCACCGCATCATGAACTGGCCTGCGGAAGTGATACAGGGTGAGGACAACAGGGCCCAAGTGGGAACGTGGATGTCTAGCCCCAAGCTACTTTATCAGGGGAAAGCCAAATAAGATGAGCCCAGAATCATATGGGTAAGAGTCAATGTGGAAGAACCACCTCTGAACTGCACCCCTTGCTCAGATCTCCCCACTTTCTTCTCCTCTGCCTCTTTTCTCCTCTCTCCCATCTCTCTCTCTTAGGTTCCCTCAATATTTTGGGACAGTCCCTAAGGTAACAATGTAGCTCCACTGGAAGCTCTGGAGTTCAGGAGAACCTGAAAATAAACTTAAAGCAGATGCTAGGGGTATGACCACCCAGGAGCAGGGTTGAGCAGAGTGACTCCACATGTCAGGTGGCAGCGAAGCAAAACCTGCATCTTCTAACCCAAGTGCCCCTGCTTAGTAAGCAGCTCATGTCTCAATTTTGCCCATGAAGTAGGCCCTCTGACAGAGTGGAATGAGTGTGATTTCTTGAAGACACAGCAGGTATCTTTTTTTTTTTTAAAGCATACAGACATCAAATCAAGAGTCAAATCTGGGATGTTATACCCTACGTCAGCCTCCCATTTCCTAGAGCCCAAGACACTACCTGAGACAGATGCACCACCAGGAGGATTGGGAGGGACACCTGAGTGCTGTTTCTGGTAAAGCTACATTTGATAGGATGATCCCTGGACAACCCCCACCTCCCTTTAGTCGCCAGTGTGGACTGGTCAGCTAGGAATATATTCCCCCCACCTCCTGCCCTAAACTGCCTCCCCCTGCAGTCCGGGGTCTTCCCGAGAAATACTTCCTGACGAGGCCTGGTGTGCTGGGAAGGCCCAGGCTGCAGCAGATTCTTTGGAGAGAGGTGGGGGGGACAGACGGACGGGACACGACAGGGGGGGGAAGTGGCCTTCTTGCCTTGTGCCATCCTGCGCGCTGCAGTTCACATTGGCCCCGTGCTCCAGCAGGATGTTCAGGATGTCAGTCCAGCCCCTGGAGCAGGCCTCATGCAGGGCCGTGTAGCCAGCGTTGTCGCGGTGATTCACGTCTTCACTGTCCTTCTGGAGGCAGTAGAGCACGACGTCCTATAGGGACAGGGATGGCTCTGTGAGCAAAGAGAGGCCTAAATTCTTGAAATCACCCCAAGTAGGTTCGAAGGTCTCCAAATGTCCAAAGAGGAAGTCGTAGGGCCTGCACTTTATTCCAGGGACTAAGGGGCATGTCTTGAAATCTTTTGTCGACAAAGTGAGTCTTGAGGTGCCATGGCCAGGGTCTCCATTCTGGGCTATTTCCTTAGCAGTGGGGAGACATTTCTTTTGACCAAGAATACTCACTGATCTGGTGTGAGTTGTTGGAGTGAGGTCCGCAGAGAGACTCACTTGCCTGCCCAGAGCTCAAACTCTTAGGCCTCAACTCCCTGAGCACTGGTTCCCTAGTCTGGGGCTTTGCAAGGCAGCAGAAGACCAGAGAGATAAGGCAGGTGGTGACAAGTACAGCCTCTGGTGGTAATTGGAGTACAAGGAGGAAAGAATTGGTTTGAGTGCTATCCGTGGATGCTGGTTTTAATTGTTTTAAGCACTGTCCCAGTTCTAGCCCTCCCCTCAAATCGGGATTGCTCTGAGAATAATCCAGTGGGGCCATTCACTCATATACTAGTGATTAGCTTCCCTGAACTACAGCGTAGGACCTGAGGCAGGACTCCAGGACTAGAAGCAAGCACCCCAGCTAGTCTGGCATGAAGTCAGTGGATAAGCTGAGGGGGGGGGGAAGAGGTGGGCAGCAGGACCAGGGGCCCATTACCAGCATTCTCCCAGGCCTGGGCAACATGGGTGGCTTAAGCATCCTGTCTGACAGCTAGCTCACAGGCTGGCCGGCTAGAACTGGTGAGTGAGGAAGTGAGCGAACATGCAAGGGAGTGTGCGCTTGTGCTGGAGCTGCCATCTCTTGGATATAGGAACTATCATGCTCCCTGTACCCAGGAGAGTGCAAGGCCCCTTACCCGCACCAATGCAGACAGCGTTCACCTATTCCCTCAGGCCTCAGACTACTCCTCCCTCCTGTGGCAGGGTGCCCAACCCGCTCCTGGCCTGTCCTGGTTGGTTCTCTCTGCTGTGGTCTCTTACTTGCTGGTTTGGCCCCAGGTAAAAGAAGATTAAACTTGAGGGCAGGGGTTGGTCATCTTTTCTCCTTAGATCTCCCTTGGCACCTATCCCGGCCCCCACACTAGGTGCTCAAGAAAGATGGGCAGCTTGCCAGTGAGACACTGTCAAGGCAGTTCTCCTGTGCCGACCAGCCTGGCTGGGAGTGCAACCATCTTTAAGTGAGTCAGTTATACATATTGGAAGCCTTAAAGAAATCAAGGCCTGCTCTAAAACCCAGCAGCTCTACCCTTAAGGGCAAATCCTTAGGAACTCATCAGTGTGGTGGGCAAAGATTCCTGGTCAAGGAGTTCATATCAACAAAAATGTCTGAAAAACAAACAAACAAAAAAAATGTCTGACAACAAAATTGAATTATGGTCTTGGAGTAGGCTTCTACCCTACCCTGGCATGCGGGAATCAAAAAGACCCTGGTGTGAACTCAGACTAGTTGAATGGTCTTGGACACATCATTTAGTAGTGCTAAGCTTTGATGTTCTTGTGGGTAAAACGGGGCTAATAAAACCTATCTCCATAGGTCAGTGGTAAAGATAAAATGATATGAAGAAATCAGAGCTCTTAATGGGACAAAACTGATGCTTGACAAATGCCAGCTTCCTTTCCTGCTTTCTTTCCAACCCACAGGGAAGTAGCCTCTTGGAAGGGGAGCCCAGCCCTGCCCCTCCGAAGCACTACTGACTCCTCCACTATTGGAAGCCGAAATGAGGGGGAGCCAGAGGGTATGAAGAGTGAGCAGGAGCCCCTGTTCCTCTCTGAGTAGGGTGGGAAGCACCACAAAGAAAAATTCAAGACAACATCAAAATCCCATTTCTGGTCTAAGAATGTGTTGGATTAGCAATATTTCAATTATTTTCATTCCCAATTGATATTCAAACAAGCTTGCATTCCCATACTCCAGGAGGGCAGCCAGGTGGCCCCAGAGGCCATGTGGGCACTAGAAGAGAGTCCAGTGGAGGCTGAAGCCCCAAACAAAGCCCTGCCCAAGCCCCAGAAGAGTCATGGAAGCTTTTCTGCAGATGCCAGGGCAGTGGCATCATGCCACTGGGGGAATCTCCCTACCTTATAGCCAAGACGGGCCGCCCGCTGCAGGAGAGTCTCGCCTGCATTTTTGTTCACTATGAGCCGACGTGCCTCTGGGGGGATCTGCCGGGCTGTAGGTGACTCAGTGGCCTCCTCTGGGCCGGCACTTCGGGACTTAGAGGGTGTGCATGGTTCCGTGGGTTTTGCTGGGGTGGGAGATTTGGGAGATCGTGTCTTCTGCTGGCTCCAACGACCTTTGCCCTGGAAAGCAGAAATGGGGTCCTGGATCAGCGCAGGTTCCCATCTATTCCTACCCAAGTAGATGCCAAGGAACTCAACTCCTCAATCACATACGCCAGCAAATGATCAAGGGATTGGAAATCAGAGACGGAGGAGACATCCCAGCTTCCCCCAAGGACCCTGAATGCCTTCTTTACCTGCCTCAATTTCCATTTGTTTTTACAAGTCCTATTTCTAAATCATCGAAGTGAACTGAGAATAGAGAAGCGGAGACAGGTATCTTTGACTGGAGAGGCATAGCTGCTAAGGCCTTCACTCTTGTTGCAAAAACCTGCCTTCTGGGCAGCCCGGGTGGCTCAGCGGTTTAGTGCCACCTTCAGTCCAGGGCATGATCCTGGAGACCGGGGATCAAGTCCCACATCGGGCTTCCTGCGTGGAGCCTGCTTCTCCCTCTGCCTGTGTCTCTGCCCCCCCGGCTCTCTCTCTCTCTCTCTCTCTGTCTCTCATGGATAAATAAATGAAATCTTTAAAAATAAATAAAATTTTAAAAACCTGCCCTCTAACCTGCCCCAGCCTCTTCCCACCTTCCTCTGTACCACAGCCCTAGATCACATTCATGCCCACATCGGGTAGTAGGAAGCACTCAGGCTCAAGAGTCAGACAGACCTAGGTCTGGAATCTTGCCTATGCCACCCACTAGCTACAAGACCTGAGTTAAGGCCCAACCTCTCTGAGCTTCACTTTCTCCCTCATGGGCTCCTCAGATGAGGAGGAACTGTGTTCTAGCAACTGTACTCAAGTAACCAGACCCAAGGAGCCTCATTTGCACCTGGACCTAATTTAGATGATGAGATTCTAAATTGGGAACTGGGGGCACCTAGGTGGCTCAGTCCATTAAGCATCTGCCTCCAGCTCAGGTCATGATCTCAGGGTCTTGGGATGGAGCCCTGTGTTGGGCTCCCCACTTAATGGAGAGTCTGCTTCTCTCTCTGCCTCTGCCTTTGTTCATGCTCTCTCTCTCTCTCTCTGATAAATAAAAATTTAAAAATAAAAATAAATAAACTGGGAGCTGACATCCTAACTGGACAAAACTTCGGGGGGCCTCGGGGAGAGGTGGGTCAGCCTTGCATGTGGGAGGGACATGAATCATTAGGCACCCAGGGGGCAGACTTTGCCCTCACCAGCTTCTAATATGGCCCCTGATGACCCCTCTTGATATTTGTGCTCTTACATAGCACCCCCTGCCGCCCCACTTGACAGGACTGACTGGTGTAGCCAACAGGAGAGTGCAAGGGTGACAGTGTGTGACTCCCAAAGCCACTTCCTAAAAGACAATGTGACTTCGGCCTCACTCTCTTTTGAATCACTTGTTCTGGGGGAAACCAGCTGCCACATCATGAGGACACTCAAGCAGTCCTTTGGAGATGCCCACAGGGCAAGGAGAGGAGGTGTCTCCTGCCAATGACCAGCCATGTGGGAGAGCCCCTCTGGAAGTGGACTTTCCTGCCCCAGTCAAGCCTTTGGTTTAATGGAGCCCTGGATGATACCCTGACTGCAAGCTCATGGGAGACCCTAAGCCAGACCCAGATAAGCTGCTCATGAGTCCCTGAACCCTAGTAGCTGTGGAAGATAGTATGTTTGTTGTTGTGTTGAACTGCTAAGTTTGAGGGTAATCTGTCAGACCACAATAATCAACTAATACCTACCACTTATCCAAATCTCGTGAAAATCCTGTCTTCTATAACATTGTACAACACTCTAACCTTCTTCTCCGCATACTCAGAACACCTAGCCTACAACAATCTGGTGCCTGGTGCCAGGCTTTTAACTTCCTTCCACTATTTCATGGACAAGTCTGGCCTCCCCTTCTAGATTTGAAGCTCCTTCAGGGTAGGTTTTATATTGTCATCTTCTCTTTTGTTCCTTACACACTTTACTCGGGGCTGGACACATCATCACAACAAATATTTGTTGACTTGATTCAAGCCATCTCTGTGCAGAGCCCTGGGCAGACAGAAAAGTTACCTAGAAAATCATAAAGCCCAGAAAGGAATGGCAGCAGGGAAAAGATCAGAGCCCAGGGCATTTGTCTCCTCTGGTAAATCCCAAGACAACCAGAGCTGCTATCCATCCCCGTTCCTAAAGGGAGGAGAGGCCCAGTCACTAGTAGGAAGGCACTGCCTATGAGTGTAGAGTTTTGCTCTACTGCCATGAGGACGGAGGTAGATAATGGCAATACTGGAGAATGCAGGGTAAAGTTCCCAGGTTTTTGCTAAGCCAAGTCAGGAGCCAAAGGGTAACACTCCTTCTGGGGGCAAGAGCTGCCAGAGACAAACGGAAGCTGCCTGAGAAGGGGAGGAGCAAGGATAAATGGGGGCCCCACCCCTCCCTTCATCCCCCCTGGCTAAGAGCCCCTGTGAGAAGAAGCCTTTGGCCAGTGCCCCAGCTTTAGTGTCGCAGGCACATACCCCACCCTCCCCCCACCTCACTTCCCACTACAAAGCACCGTGCCAGGGGCATCCAGAGCAGGAGGTGGTGACTGGGAAAGAAAGAAAGGCAGGAGGGAGAAAGGGAGGCTCTGTGAAGGGACAAAACCTCTCTTGGAGGAACATTTCAGCAGACACAGTGCCAGGCGGAATAACCAGACGCAACCATCAGCGTGTGCTGCTGAATGTCAGGAGGCCGGTCACCTTTGTGTGGGACAGGGTCATCTGAGTGTCTGGGGAGGAGCAGCGGGGGAAGAGGAGGGGGACACCCACCTTTCACCAGAGCTGCTCAGCGTTGCAGTGTGTCCCTGACTGGCCGCCCCCACCCCGATGTCTCCTGATACAGACAGAAGCCACCCATTCACAGGGTGGAGGCCCATAGAAAGAGCTGAGGCAGTCAGGTCTGCTTCGTGTCCCCACTCCATCACTTAGAACCACTAGGTGACCTCGTGCAAGACCCCTAACCTCCCAGAGCTTCAGTCTCCTCATCATAAAATGAGGACAACAATGCCCACCTCTAACAGCTGTTGTGGGAATTAAGGACACCCATGTGAATGGAGCTCTCAGCACAAAGCAGAGTTCTTTCTTCCTCCTCCTCCCCCCCCAGGGGTCTGAGGGAATGGTCACTACTATCTTGCCACTCCATGCCTCTGTTCTCTCATCCTTGCCTTGACCTGAAGCTCAAGAGTGTACACCAACCTCAAAGAGCACTTTACAGTTATCAAAGCCTTTTACATCCATTGCCTACTTTGTTCCTCCAAGCACCCTTGTGAGATAGAAAGGATGTGAAGTATCATCTCCATTTTTAAGGATGAGGAAATAAGCTTGAATACCTTGTCTGAGCTAGAACCAGATTCTAGGAGGAGAAAGGGAAAAAGAGGGGGAGACGAACACCTGGGTCTCCTGCCTTTTGCCCGTGCCACCCAGGGATCCCTGCTCTGGAGCTGGAAAGAGCTAGAAAAATCCAACCGCCAAACAAACCAGTATGATTTTTTTTTTTTTTTGGTCGCCAATGACATTTGAGCCTGGATCTTTGATTCTCTCAAATGTAAAGCTTACTGAGGACTGAGGACTATGTGATTTTTTTTTCAAATGGTACAATGTAGAACCTGAAACCCATGATGTGAACATCAGACCCCCCAAAAGATGTCAGTTATAAACGGGGATTCTAGAATGCTGGCCTGGCTCCTGATTGGTGAGTGCCCACATGCCTGTTCCTCTGCTTCCTGTAGAAGCAAAGAACTGGTGAGCTGGGGATGGGGAAGGTCAGCTATAACTCCTTCAGCCCTACCCTCAAGTAACCTTTGTCTGGACATCAACACCGTTGCTTCTACAAGTTGTTTTCTACCTTGATTGATTCAGAAAACTCTGACTGGTTTCCAGGGAGTTAAGCTCAGACAAAAGCTTCTTGATTGGATGTTAACATGCTATTCAGGCTAACATCCTGCCATATTCTTCAACTCTTTCTTAACTCAAAGGAGATCCAAGGACTGTTGAGGAAAAACCATTAAGAACCAAACCTGAGAGCTTGCAGACTCTTGTTAACTATAACTTTAGTTTCCATTCTTCAAATGCAACCCCCAACTCTTCTAGAACTACTTCAAAATACTTTAATAAATATGAGTTAAGGGGTGCCTGGGTGGCTCAGTCAGTCAAGTAAGCTAGCTGCCTTCAGCTTAGGTCATGATCCCAGGGTGCTGGGATTGAGTCCTGTGTCTGGGTCCTGGGATTGAATCCTGTGTCTGGCTCCCTGCTTAGCAGGGAGTCTGTTTCTCTCTCTGCCCTTCCCACTGTTGATGCTTACGCTTCTCTCTCTCTCTCTCTCTCTGAAATAAAGAGATAAAATCTTAAAACAATATATGAGTTAAATTGGTCCTCCCCATCCACTCACTCACTCATTCAGAGGACTATGGATCGGGGAGCCTCTAGAAAGCCCGCCATCCTAGCCTGCTCCCTTCCCATCAACTCCCCTCACTGGCAACGGTACCTTTGCCTCTTCTGAGACATTTGCCATGTGCTTGGTCTTGCACTTTCGTTTTCCCGATGGCTTTTCTGAATTTTCAAGGCAGGCTGGCTCCTCCAGGTTATTTGGGAGGAAACCATTTGGTGAATCTGAGATCCCCTGGGCTTTGTTGGGCAAGAGAAGGTTCCTGTTCCTGAGTCGGTGCTCCGAACTTTGGGAGGAAGTCTTCTGCTTACGGGCCTTTAAATCTGAAGGCAAGAAACAGGAAAAAATGGGCATCAGGGAAATGGAACACAGAAAAGCAATACCTTCCTCTAAGATGAATCAGAAAGTTTTGGGGATTAGAATCTCAATGCCAAGTTGTCTAACTATCAGCTACCAGTGTCTAGTGTGGTGCCAAGAATTCCACTAAATGTCTCTCAAGTGGACACTACCTCAGTATCAAAGTCCCTTCTCTCCAAGCCGGTGATGACTCCCAGCCCTGCCAGCAGGGGGCAGCCCATCTAACTGTCCCCAAGATGAGGGTAATTTTAAAAGGATTTCCCCGTAGCCCAGAGCAAATCAGAGCTTTCTTTTCAGCTCTTCCCCCATCCCTTTGGTCTCTCTCTCTATTCCAGTGTGAAAACAAATTTAGCAGCTCTGCTGAAGCAAAGTATGAAGTATACTAGGGTGGGGCATAAACGGAGAAGTCTTCCTTCATTGCCTCAGCTCTCCTACCTGACTGCCTGGTTGGTCACTCTCTGAGGATACCAAGATCGAAGCCACAGAAATTCCCTGAAACCATAAAGTGCCATGGGCCTACTTAGCTGGTGGGCAGTGACAGAAAGCTGCTGTCTGCCCTGGTTGAAAATCAAGTCACTGGAATACAATGCACAACATCTCAGCCACAGCTCACTAGACAAAGCACTTTCTGGATTCAAAAAGCATGGCTGCGATTCAAGGGGCCCCTGGGTGGCTCAGTCAGTTGAGTGGCTGACTCTTGGTTTCAGCTCAAGTCATGATCTTAGAGTGGTAGGATTGAGCCCTGAGTCAGGCTCCAAGGTCAGCATGGAGTCTGCTTGAGATTCTTTCCCCTTCTCTCTCCCTCCCAGTCTGCTCCTCCCCCAACTTGCCTGGCACACATACTCACATATACTCTTGCTCTCTGTCTACAATAAATAAAAAAAAATAAAATCTTTTGTAAAAAAAAAAAAACAAAACAAAACAATGAAAGAGAAAGTGTGCTGTGATTCTTACAGCTCTTTCCACATGCAGAGCACAGATCCCTGAGTGGCACTGGGAGCTTCAGTGCCAACAGCCTCATCTCACAGGTCAGTCCTAAACCCCAGGTATAGAGGGGATAGATTGGGTTTACCCTCATCTCTTAACTAATATTTGTGTTACATGGCTTGGCCACTACTGTGTGATTGGCTAGAGGCAAGTCATAATCTCCTACAGCCTCGGTTTCTATGTCTATAAAATGGAGAAGACATATTCCACCTCAGAGGACTGGTGTGAGAATTAAAATGAAGTAACATATACAAAACCCCTTTATAAGGTACTATAAAGAAGTCATCCTTATCATATTATCACAGTGCAAGCTACTTAGGGAGGGCCATGCCCATGTGTTCTTTATTTCCCCCACAGAACTGAACAGATGGCAAAAGATCAGGATGTCTAGGAAATGAATAACTGCAGCCTCAGTTTCTCCAATTTGTGAACCAAGGGGGTTGAGCAAGATCCAAGAGTTCTCAACTCGCCTCCTTCGACTATGGCATGTATTCTTACATGTGACATTACCAAGGGCAAATCCAGATGTTGGAGCCATCACTAGAGTATGAGGAATTGGCTCTAGGTTACACACAGCTCTTAGAAGGCCAGCTATCATACCAGTCCTTTCTCCCAACTAGCCCCAACCCACCAGTGGGTCCCCACACCTGTCTAAGAACTGTTGTGTTACATGGCTTCTAATGGCAATTCCAACCAGAACATTCTAAACCAGGGCTTTTGATGCAGCAAGTCTGGGCTGAGGCAAAAGAGGAAGGAACAGAACTATGCCTTGTGAGGGAGGACCTCAGGAAACATGGGGAAGCCATATTACAGCATTCACCACCACAGGAAAAGCAGTAGCTCCCTACACCGTTTACCCAGGGCAGGGCAGGCTCTAGAGTTTATTCAATTGCAGTGGAGCAAGAACTTCAGAGTAGCATGGAAAGAAACAGAGTGGAAGTAGTAGGTGTGGAAGTGGAAGTGGCTCTTCCTATCCTCTCTGCAGGTCAAGGAGGGAGATACCAAAGTCCAGGACAAAACAAAAGGTCATGAGGGTGCCTGGGTGCCTCAGCCGGTTAAGCGTCTGACTTCAGCTCAGGTCATGATTTCGGGATCCTGGGATGGAGGAGCGTTGGGCTTCACGCTCAGCAGGGAGTCTGCTTTTCCCTCTCCTTTTGCCCCTCCCCACCCACTAGTGCACAACATGCTCTCTCTCTCAAATAAATAAATAAAATCCTTAAAACAAACAAACAAACAAACAAACCCGGAAAGGCCATGAGACTCAGACAGAAGTAGGGTGGCCTATCTATAGTTTGGCCTCTGCCTGACTCCCTAATGTCAACCTGAAAGATTGGTAGTAATAGGAAGGATCCGAGCTTTCCTGAGAAGAGAGATGTTTGCCAGGCAATCTCTTCATGAAGGTGTCACCATCAGTCTGGAGAAAGATAACTAAACCATAAGCCAAAGCCAACAGCCTTGACTCAAGACCCTTAGACATGTGCATGGAGGGATAATAACCTGCGTTCCAACAATTGAAGCTGCCCCCAAATCAAACAGGATGCCTTGCTAAGCAGTGTTCTCCATGCTCCTGGAGGTGGTTAAGTAAAGGCCACCTGTCAACAGTGCAGTGTTCCAGAGATCTCTGCTTTGGGTGGAAAACAGAACCAGGTAACCTCGAAGGTCCTTCTGATTCCAAAACCAGTAAGTTCCACAGGAAGCGTCCAAGCTTGTAGGAAACCAGCTCTCCTTAGAGAAGACTGGGTGACACAAAAGTTCCTCTTCATCCTAACACAAGTGGCTGAGACCAATGGCTTGACACCTCATTCCTGACCGATCCCTTACGGCTCTGGCAGGAAAAAGGGAAAATTATTTCCATTCTCTCATACAGTTGATGAAAATGAGCTCCATTGTCCTCTGCAGTGTAGGGATGGCATTGTATACATCTCTACACAGAACTGGAAATGAGGTTTAGCCTTCTTTGCACTGCAGCAAAGCCAGAATCTACTACCCCCTCAGAACGCAGTTATTCAGTTTTCAAGAAAAGGGAGACTGTAGATATTTCCCAGTGGCTCAAGATACATACATTATCAGAGACAATCAATTGTTGCTTCAAGGGAAGAGGTCAGAGGGAGAGAGCAAGAGACAGACGTGCTCTTATGGAACCCAGAGACACACTTTTTGCTCATCTAGAAATCCACTACAGAAATGTGCCCCCCCCAAAAAAAAAAAAAAACCATGAGGAATGGGCCCAAACAGTACTTAGCAGAACATACTGATAACACTGATAAATTAACTTTGGTGACAGTCTGTGCCTCCATGATTACATATGATGCATCTGATGTAGCCAAAGAAAGCCTGGGTTTCTCCTTGGTCTGCCTGCTTTTCCAACTCAGGTCCAACAAAAAATGATGCCACCTCAGGTCACCTCAAAGCTTCACTCTGCCTCTTAATAACCTTTGTAGCTTTAATTGAGAAAGCAAAGTTGTGCCCGCTTCTACTTGAAGTTCTTCTGTTAACTTGAGGAAACTTTGTACTTCTTTTTAGTGTAGGGGCTGGAGACATCCCAGGAAAGGCAGCCAATGCCTCTTTCTTCTTGAACCCAGGATTCTAGGAGAGAGAATCCAACCTCCCAAGACCCAGCTCCCCTCAAGCCAACCAGAGAACTCCCTGGTAACGAGTTGTTCTACGCCAAGGATGCCACTGTGGCCTTGCCCACAGGTTCAGACTCTTATACGAGGGCTCGGGCCTTCATGTCCTCCGCTCACCTGCAGGTCAGTCCAGACTCATTCGATCTGAACCCCAAGCCAAAACCTTGGGACTGGAGTTGAGTGACCCCCTCTGGCAGCTGGAGCTCATAGCACCAGGTTTCTATGGGTGCAGAGGCCTTTGGCTGGCGAAGAGAAGGCAGAGATGGGAACACCCAGGATGCCCGAGGGTCCCCAGAGGCCAACATCACTGTGGTTTGGGGACGAGTGACAGCAGCTCGCTGGGGCACAAGCCCCCAGCCTGCCTTACCTGCTCTCCCTTTCCGCTGCTGCTCTTCTTCTTGCTCTGTCAGGTACTCTCCAGTCTGATATTTTCGGCTCTTCTGTCGTCTCCGCTTCTTCCTCTTCACCAGGCCTTCCTCCTCTTCTTCCTCCTCCTCCTCGTTGGTGTCCCACATTTGTCGGGCAGCCTCTGTCCTCCAGGGCATTTCTCGGGCTCGCCATAGATGCCGGCGGCCCTGGCTCAGCAGAGTTTTGTCCTGGGCATGGTGGCTGCGATACTGGGTGTCCCGTTGGGTCTTCCTCACCTTTCGACGCTTAGCTGGGGTGGGGGTCACATCTTCTTCCTCCTCTGTGGGGAAGACCTCCTGGCTTCCCATGTCACTGTCTGCCATACCAGCAAAGGAGCTACAGATGCTTCCTGTGGACGGGATGTACAGAGGACGGTCAGGTACCTCTTCAAAGGACAAAGAGTACGATGTCGAAGCAAGTGCCCTGGATTAGAAGCTTGAAGGTCTGGGTTCAAGTTCAGGCTCTGCCAGTTATTAGTTGTGTGCTCTGGGAAAAGTTCCTTCACTTCTGTTTCCTCCTCTATAAAACAGGGACACTGTTCTCTGCCTTACTGGCCTCACAGGACTGTTATGAGGCTCAAATGAGATAATCAGCCCATAAGCACTTTACAGAGTCCAGTATACCACACAAATATTGAGAATCCAAGCCACATGCCCTTCCTTATCCATGTTGCCATGACTTTAATTCATTGCACAAACTCTGACTTAGTGGCTTACAAGTCACCAAGCGTTATGTGAGGAATAGGAGGGGGTCATAGGTCCCTGCCCTTTGGGAAATTAGGGTTCAGCAGTAGGTGAGAGAGGGCAGATCAGCAGGGCACCCCCACCCCTGCTCACTATGTGACCACCAGTCTCACTGAAAGAGCTACTCTGGACAAGCAGAATCATCACAAAAGAGTCTCAGGAAGATCGAAGCCAGGAGTCCCTTTCATGTGACACAGCCTGGGTTAGTCCCACTCAAAAGCTCCTCCATCCAGGCCCTCTTCCCTTTAATTGACCCCACCTCCTATTAAGTGGCCAAGAGTCCAGGGGTGGAGCTCCCTCCCTGCATGCCCCCTCCTCCCCACTGCAGCTGTTATTCACTGCCACTGGGCAGGCACTGCTCTCCCCTCTCCCCAGGACCCCAGTGTCATGGTACCCTTCCTGCCCACCTCCATCATCTTGCCCAGAGGCCATTTCATCCCCACTGCCTCCTTCAACTCTGCTAACCATAAAAGTATGATCCTAAATTGGCCCAGTTTAGCACAATAGCAGATCTGACAATCTTCTTCAGAAGTAGCTCTGAGACACCACCATCTTTCTCCCAAGGACTTGCTATTAACTCGACAATCCCCAAACACAAGCGAGGTCAGTAGAAGAAAGAAATGGTTTCAAGGCAAACAGAGCAGCCCTCAACCAAAGCTTGAAGTCAGTCAGATTGTTTAAAAGACAGCAAATATCCAGTAAAATTTCCATATACAGACCGGGCAGGGCACGAAGTGTTCTGGTTAATCTAATATTCTGGTTAATGTGGAATCACCATAGAGATCACACAGGGATCACCAATTTCCAAAGAATCAAATACAGTACAATGTGTTTAACAGTAAAACGGGACTGGGCATAATGTAATCACTCTTTGATGATTCAGAAGACACTTCAGGATTTTGCAAGGCCTTCAGGCCATCATTACGAGCCCCAATTACCACTGCGCTTTCTATGTGCTGAGATGCCAGTTAATAGAATGTCAGATAGCTGAGTTTACACCATGCCCTGCTTCCCCATTCTATCCACTTTGCATGGAAATACGGGTGAACCAGGGCAACCACTTCTAGTGCTACATACCAATGTGGAAACTAGCAGACAACAGTGATGGCTAGAGAGAACTATCTTTTTTTAGACACTGAATACAAAACCAGGGAACCAAATGTGACTCTATGGGCCCTGACAACTCAATGACCATTTCCTATTTTGTTGATACCTGTCACATAGGGCAGTAAGTCCAAAGGCTGTATATCTGTGCATGAGACTGGCCCTGATAATCAGGAGGTGCCAAAGCTTGGAGTAGGCACATTTACCCAAGTGGCACAGGCCCTTCCTCTTTCCACCACTGGCTGCCAACCAGAAATGTCAAATCTCTGTTCGGAAAAGCCCTGTTTGGAAAAGCTAAGCAAGCAGTCCTACAATTCTGGGCCATGTCCCCCCTCCCCACCCTGGGCTCTCTTGACTCTGCAAGGAGCTGGGCATCTAAGCACAGTTGGTCCAATTCTCAACTCCCCACCTGGGCTAATAGCAAAATTGCTCGACTGGACTTCTACCTCTCTCTGCAGAGAAGAGCCAAGATGGGCCACGGCTTCCGCCTCACTCACCAGACTGACTGCGCGTCCGTGTGCTCAGAACCACGGGGATGAAGTCACGGAAACTGCTCTTTGCTTTCTTCTCCAAGGAACCTGGAGCGATGTGTGGTTTCAGGGCAGAAGGCAGAAATATCACAATCAGGAGTCCAAGAACTGAAAGCCCCACTGGAGAGGCTCGGGTGGAAAAATCAAGGGAGGGTTTGTGTTTTCCCTGGATCACATTTATTAGCTCTCCTGATGCTGCTCTAACCTCTGTACATCTCCTGGAGAAGGAGGAGCACTCCCCGGTGGTTTTCGAAAACTGGGAGTTGAGTCATTTTTGATGACACCAAGAAAAGACTATGTACAGAATCGATTCGCTGCATGCCCAAAAGTTGAAGGCCTGGCTGCCTGTCTGACTACAAGGCCGCAGCACCTCCATGAGGTTAGAACTAAGCTGGGGCATGTCCCAGACAAGGGCAACCTCAATGGATTGTAGAGCACCGAGCGAGGCAGGAAGATGGGAGGAGGGAGTGGTGGACAAAGGAAAACTACTGTATAAGAACAGACTAGAAAAAGGCAGGTCATGTCAGACAGGCAAGGCCATGAAAACAGGCTACCATGCGCAGGAACACTGGGGTGTCTCTCTCAGATGAGGGCACCAAGGAACTGGTAGTGGCAGAGCGTACAGGTTAAGTACATACCTCCCTACTCCAAACAGACTGTGTGTCCCTCAATAGTAAGGGTTCAGGATTTCCCTAAGCACTTCTGGCTAGCTAGCTGGGTATTAATTTTTAACTTTTTATAATAGGAGTTTTCAGATATACCAAGGTAGAAAAAAAGGTGTAATAACGAGCCCCGTCCTGCTGTTTTAGTCCCAATCCCCGCGAACCGTTTCTTCTCTGAGCCTAGACCCATTGCAGGGTAATGGGTCAGCTCCTCCATTGTAGGACTGACTTTTGTCTGAAAACCGCCTTCGTTGGCTCTCAGGGTGTCCCTTATCCTTAGTGACCAGGGTGAAGAGAATCAGCCCCTTCTCCCTTGCCTTGGATTTCAGAGGTGTCAATTATATCTTCCTTCCATACTGAGGAAGTCTCACTTTTCTGGGCAGTCCAGAGCCATCTCCACTCCCCACAACCTGCCACCAACCGGCCACAGGGACCTCTCCAGCCCAGTCCAAAGGGCAAGGACCTGTGGAGCCTACCTTCCTCGTGGCCATCGGCTCGTTTTCCTGGAGACTGGGAATCTGGCTTTGCTGGCTTCCGGTGCTTGTGCTTTACCCTGACTCCATTGTGCTCTTTTCCTGAATCTGAAGCCCCCCTGGGGCTTTTCTTGGTGGGTTCCTGGGGGTCACTAGGTGGCTTCCGGCACTGTGGAAAGGTAGAGAGAGTCAAGTCTGAGATCAGTTTGGCTGTCCTAAGAAAACTTTGCCACTGGTAAGTCTGGTGCCCCATTCTGATACAGACAGGAGCTGCTGGGTGAGGGAAACAGGGGGGTACAGGGGAAGGGACCGCCTGCTGCCCACCACTGTGGGCTACCAAGGCTTTCTGGGCCTGAAGCCCATGCTCTAGCTAACCCCCATGGACAACCATACACCATTATTTTTACAGGTCTATGGAGGATGCATTCACAAGCCACATCGACCCCCAAAGTCATTTTCGAAGATGCAAAGTTAGGCCCATGCTCTCTATATCCAAACAGCACAAAAATGCCTCCTTGGCAAGTAAGGTGACCACACTGGTCAAATAACTTCACTGCAAGTGATATGGACACCAACAACTGAAAACAATTCTTCATCCGGGCCCACTCAAGAAATGGCCTATCTCCATGTGTAACAGATTCAGTGAAGGCGAGAGGAAAAGCATGACACGGGAGCAATTCATATCTCCCCGTACGTATGGAAGACAAGGAAATGGCCGAGGCATCGTTAATGATGCCACTTTATACTCTGCAGTATCTTTGACACTTCAAAATGTCCTCTTCTCTTTTATTTGATTTGATCTTCCTGACAACTCCAAAAGGAAAAGCTAATATCATCTCTACTGAACAGACAAGGAAACTGAGGCTCCAAGACTAGAGCTTAAATGCTTTGTCTGGGGCAACATACTGCCCTGGGCGTCTACTCACTTGAGGGAGGCTGCCGCTTACCAGGCAAATCTGCAAATAAGCTCATTTGTGCATGCAGTGAGCAAGTGGCCAAGGTGGGACTGAGACCCAGGACTCCTGGCTCCCCGCCTGGGCCGCCCTCTGCAGCAGCTCTTACTCTTCTCCTTCCCTACTCTGTCCTCTACTATTTGTGCTCAGGCCCGCTCACTTGGATAGGCACAATGCATGCTTATGCAGCATAAGGAACTTGCAGCCTAACAGTGGCATATGCTCCCAAACTTTGAGGTCTCTCCACACCACCAAACAAGAAATAGGGCAAAGTAGGGATTTCCATCATTCTAGCATCCAGGGAGTGTAGAATAAGCAAAATGTTTTAACAATGAAAGTGGGCCCTAGGAAGAAAGGAAGAGTTGTCTTTCCCCTAAGCAGACCCACGTGTACCTTCTAGAAGGTTATCACTGTCTAGCTCCAACTAAGGGGATAGCAGATGTCTTATCAATGAAACACTTTTCTGGGTGTTGTGTGGGTGGGTAGAGTTTTCTCAATTCTCCAGGGATAGGGAGTGACTGTTCCCCATCAAATTCCCGGGACTCCTACTATCCCATGAACTCCTGCTTCTTACTCAGCAGAGGGCTGAGCTAAAAATTCAAGTTCAGGGGATCCCTGGGTGGCGCAGTGGTTTAGAGCCTGCCTTTGGCCCAGGGAGCTATCCTGGAGACCAGGGATCAAGTCCCACATCGGGCTCCCTGCATGGAGCCTGCTTCTCCCTCTGCCTGTGTCTCTGCCTCTCTCTCTCTCTCTCTCTCTCTCTCTCTCTCATGAATAAATAAATAAATAAAATCTTTAAAAAAATTCAAGTTCAATTTCCCCCTTGGCTTGCTGCTGGTTCCTACAAACCAAAGTGCTAAGAAAAAGAAAGAACTGTAATGGGGGGGGAGAGAAATATGGGGAACTGTTGCTTAAAATCTCACCTTCAGGAATGGCCAGAGAGAGACCACTTGAAGTCGGGGGGGGGGGAGTGTGAAATGCACATGAATCTGAACATGTCTTATTTCTGAATACCACTTTTAGCTAGCTCTTTCAAGTGCAGATCATTAAGATTTCCTCAGATAAACAAAAACAAGTAAAACAGAACATCTAGAAGGGATTTCTGTCCGTATGTTCCGCAAGGGCAGCGCCTAAAGGAAAAATGTATTTGCACGCTCCAACTTAGGCAAAAAGTTGGGCGGATGGGGAGACCATGTAAGACGAATGTTCTGGTTAACCGAGTTTTGAAAGGTTTTCCAAAGAATTGATGAGAAGACAATAAGATACACCCAGTGCCAGATGAAGCAGAACTCTTGCTCTGTGGATGATTCAGCCAGCCCTTCAGGATTCCATGAGGCCTTGAGGCAGGTGGTGTAGGGGACTGGAGACTATTCTGATTCTAGGCCATACCCTGAAAGGGGTTATTTGCAATTAAACACTGATCTTATTTTGCTTATCAACAGTTTCTTTCTTGGGAAAAATGGAAGATAAGAAACAAAAAAATCAAAGTTATTTACTCTCTCCCCAAAAATGGACAGTTGCTAAATCCTTCCAGGAAGCTGCTCAGAGCTGCTGCAAGACACCCCGATATTCTAACTTTATTCTCTGCTCTTGGCATCTGTTAGTGAGCCCAGTGAACTGGCCATCTAATATAGCAAGGGGCAGTGCCTGCTTGCTATATTACAGGAAGGGGCAGGTGGCCTGTAAGACATAAGCTCCATGAGAGCAGGGAGCACATCTATTTAGTTAGTAATACTAACAATAACAACCAGCATCCATGAAAATTTACTGAGCACTCACATGCTATGTGCCAGGCACTGTTCTAAGCATTCATATGTATCACCTCATTTGTTTTTTTTTAACATCAGCTTTATTGGTATGTAATTTTTTTGAGATATACCATACAATTCATTTGATTCAGTTTACAAGTCAATTGCTTTTAGTACAGTTGCAGAGTTGTATAACCATGATTTAGTTCCCAGAACTTTTCTACTGCCCCAAATGGAAACCTCACACCCATTTCCCCATCTCCTCTAGCTCTTGGCAACCACGATTCTACTTTCTGTTTCTATCGATTTGCCTATTCTGGACACTTCACATCATCTCATTTAATCTTGACACAACCCTGTGAAGAGATGCTATTACTGTCTCGTTGTACAGATGAGAAAACTGAGGGCTAGTGAGTTTAAGTCATTTGACTGACAGCACACAGTTGAGAAAAAGTAGGACTGAGATTTGAACTTGGGCACTGCACCTGGCTCTGGAAAGCACATCCTCACCACAATGCTGTACTGCCCTCCTAAAGATGTACCTCAGTGCCTGGGAGGGGCTAGCATGTAGTAACCACTCAATAAACACTTGCCAAATGGTCAGTGAAACAGTTGTACCTAAGGAGAGTAGAAGATAGCTGAAGATGAATGTGAACTTTGGAGCCAATGACCAGCGTCTGAGTTCCAGCTCTGCCATTTAGTAGCTGTGCAACTTTCGGTAGCTTACCCATTCAGTCGGTTTCCTTCATTTTCTTTCTTTTTTTTATTTATTTATGATAGTCAGAGAGAGAGAGAGAGAGAGAGAGAGAGAGAGAGAGAGAGAGAGAATGGCAGAGACATAGGCAGAGGGAGAAGCAGGCTCCATGCACCGGGAGCCCGATATGGGATTCGATCCCTGGTCTCCAGGATCATGCCCTGGGCCAAAGGCAGGCGCCAAACCGCTGCGCCACCCAGGGATCCCCGGTTTCCTTCATTTTCTTATCTGTAAATTGGGTATAGCACTCACTTCATAGGGTTATTGTAAGGATTAAGTTAGAGGACATCTGTAGAAAGCACTTGGCATGCAGTATATATGCTGTATATATGTGTGTGCACATGTGCGTGTATAGCATACAGTACTAATGACATGAATTGTTATTCCTATTACCACCAAAGCCAAATCAGTTACTTGAGCAAAGTAACTATGATTATGTCATGACCTATGTTCCTACTTGGCATGTCTCTGCTATACAGAGGTGGTTGTGAGGTCATTGAGAAAACCCACCCAAACTCTATCCCTGGGGTTCTTAATTTGGAGCCCATGGGCGGGCTTTGTGGAGGGGGAGGGCCCATGAACTCCTTAAAATTACTGGCAAAACTCTGAGGTCATGTTTCTGTGGACAGGGTCTTATGAGCTTCTCAAACATTCTATGATCCAAAAAAGATTAAGAAAAATCTTCTGGGGGATCCCTGGGTGGCTCAGCAGTTTAGCGCCTGCCTTCGAGCCCAGGGCATGATCCTGGAGTCCTGGGATTGAGTCCCACATTGGGCTCCCTGCAGGGAGCCTGCTTCTCCCTCTGCCTCTGTCTCTGCTCTCTCTCTCTGTCTCTCATGAATAAATAAAAAAAAATCTTAAAAAAGATAAGTGGGACTGTTCACAGCTCCTTCCTTTGGGGAGGGCATCTAAAAAAAAGAAAAGAAAAAGCTTTTGCCACAAACCCGAATTCATGGTATTCTGGCTAGAAATCCGTTACTAGTGTATGTCAACATTCAATTTGAAAATGAAAAATCTTAAAAAAAGAGCATGGCTGCATTCCAATAAAACTTTATAAAAAAATAATAAAATGAAATTTAAAATATTGCAACCAGCAGCCCGGAAAAAAAGCAGAGTGCCTGGGTGGCTCAGTCAGTTAAGCATCTGTCTTCAGCTCAGGTCATGATATTGGGGTCCTGGTCCAGCCCCACGCCAGGCTCTGTTCAGTGGGAAGTCTGCTTCTCCGTGTCCCCCCGCCAGCAAATAAATAAATACATTTTTTAAAAAACCATTCAATTTAAAGACTTCTTAACATAACTTCAAATTGCTCCATATTTTTTTAAAGTTTTTTTATTTACTTAAATAATCTCTAAATCCAATGCAGGACTCGAACTCATGACCCTGAGATCAAGAGTCACGTGCTCTCTACTAAGCCAGCTGGGCACCCCTAAATCACTCCACATTTTTGAGAATCTCTTTGGATCACCAGTGGCTTCTGGGCCCCCTCTGGAGCACCAACGGATTCAAGTCAGGTCCTCCTGGTCCACCTTTTTTCCTAGCTCCCTGCCACCATTAAGAACCCAGACCCATGGGGCAGCCCGGGTGGCTCAGCGGTTTAGCGCCGCCTTTGGTCCAGGGCGTGATCCTGGAGACCCAGGATCGAGTCCCATGTCGGGCTCCCTGTGGGGAGCCTGCTTCTCTCTCTGCCTGTGTCTCTGCCTCTGTGTGTGTGTGTGTGTGTGTCTCATGAATAAATAAATAAAATCTAAAAAAAAAAAAGAAGCCAGACTCAGATGCCCACCTGCCTTGCACACTAAATTCCCCAAGGGCCTAAACACAAGGCTTCCACCCCAAGCCCTGGGTGGACAGGAAAGTGGTGGATGAGCACAGAAGCCAAATTGGCTTCAGCCCCCACAAGACTCCAAGCATACCCCGAGCAGGTTCCCCCAGTGGTACAGAGAACAACCCTGTCAAAGGCCCCTTGCCTCCCCTTGAGAATCCCAAGTTCTCAAGGCCAGCAGTTATCTCAGAAAAGGAAAAGGAAGAATGGTTATGGGGGAAGGGCCTGTTATTAATTGATTTCCCTCGTCAATCCCTTCTTCCGCTTTCCAACCTCATCTGGGACAATGGCTTCCCTGGCCTCAGGGACCAAATCATTTCCCACATCCTACAAATCCAAGCCAGCCCCTCCCTGCTACAATACCATATATGGACAACGTGACTCAAAAAAGGGGATAGCAGGTCATTATTCACGTTACACAAGCCTTCCAATCAGTTCAGTTCACGGAGCTACTCAAGAACACCTCCATGGGGAGGTTGACATCTGCAGGATAAAGCAGACCTCTAGTGTCCTGGCCCTGCCCTCGACCTCTACCCGGTACTCACCTTGGGTCCATGGGAACTCCGGGCTATGACCTTGGCTTGTGGTGGCTGCTCCTCACCATCCTTCTCTTTGCCATACTTCATTTTCTTGGGCGGCAGAGATTCCGTCACCCCATCGGTCACCACTGAGTCTGGCTGCCACTTGTTCTTGCAAGCAAAGATACCTACACTTTCCTGTTTCACTCGAGCCTGCCCAGCCTTATTCCGAACTTCAGCTTGGCCCCTCTGGGGAGCTGCTGGGAGGCCATCGGCCCGGAAGCAGGTGGCTAAATTGAAGACCACATCACCTTCCACCTTTTCCATTTTCACCCGCCCCAGGTCCACCTGGGTTCCAAGCTGTGAAAGCTCTGTGCTGGAGCCCCTCTTGCTGCTCGGGACCACATCCAAGATGAGTTCCTTGGGGCGGTTGTCATGAGGTAGCAAAGGCAGCTCAGGTATCTTGTGCAGGTTCTGGGGGGTAGCCAGGACCAGCTCATGGGACATGTAGGTGGCCAGCACTTGGTTTTTAGGCTTCGTGTCTCCTGCCAGCTTCAGGCCACAAGCCCCCTGGGGACCTTCTATCTTAGGAGTGCTGTCAGGGCAGAGGTGGCTCTCTGACTCCTCGGGCCCCTGATTCACTTTTATGTCCCCACTGCTAGGCTGGACAGACAGCGCCAAGGTCCCTGTCTGAGGGCTGAGGGTCAGGAGGACAGGGTTGACTTGCTCTTCGTAAGGCTTTGCAGCAATCCGGCAGGTTTTGCCCTTGTTGCCAGTGTCCTGCTCTGGAGCAAAGGTGCCCCCAGGCCGTGGCTGCCCCTCGGGAAGTCCATGCACAGCTTCACTGGGGCCAAGTGGGGGCACACCCGAAAACTCAGAAACGACGTTGGTGGGCCTGATGGGAACCCCTTGACTCGGGGTCAGTTGCCCGGCACTGGAAATGCCAATGGAAAGCAGAGACGCCTGGTGGTATGGTGACCAGCCAACAGGCAGGACCTGGGTGCTGGTGGGTTTCCCATTAACTGAACACCGGGGGTAAATATTTGCTGGCCCAGTAGGCTTCCACAGAGAGAGCTCCTTGGTTTGGCACCCCGGCAGCCCAGGGGCAATGCGGGCTGGGGTGTATCGTTTAACTGTGCTTGGCTGTCCCTCAGTCCCAGCCTGGCTGCTCTTCTTGCCACAGGGGGCACCGGTGCTCTTAGGCTCTCCTTGATCGATGATGGAGATGGGCTCCTGCTTGGGAAGATGGCGGGGGTCTCGGTTGAGGCCCAGGTTAGGGTCTTTGTTCAGCAGCAGGGATGCAGGCACTGGGTTGGCCACTCCCACATAGGTGCCAGGAATGGTGCTGATCAGTGCGGTTGAGTTCTTCACCCAGGTGCTCGGGTCCCCATTCCTCACGATCTCAGGAAAGATGACAAAGGGCGAGGAAGTGGAACCCAGGCACGAGGTGACATTGCTACCGGCAGCCTGGGTTGTGCGCTGTGACCTAGATAAGACCGTGGAGAGGAGGGCCTTGCTGCTGGTGTGCACAGGGGTCAACACAGGCATGGGGGGCGTCTTGCGTTGGTTCGGCAATGGAAGCTTTTGGCGGTTGGACTTGGAGGAGAGGTCGAGGGGCATCTCGCTGCACTCAGGTGGAGAGGCCATCTCTCGCTCCAGCTGTGGAGGTGACTTGAGGGGAGAGAAGGTGACGGAAGTCCCTTCTGTTTGCTGCTCACCACCACCTGGCATCTTGGCGGGGTGCGGCGGGGCCGAGCTCACGCTGGGGGCTGGCAGCAAAGGCTGTGGGGTTGGAAGCACCTTGGCAGAAGCGGTAGAGAGGGAAGTATCTGCCAAAGGCCCCGGGACCCCATCGGGTGCAGGCTGGGTGCTGGTACTGCCGGATGGGGATGCGCAGGGAAGCCTGTTCACCTCCAGAGAGACCAGCTTGGAATCTGAAGTCAGAGGCCGGGCCACAGAAAATGCGTATGGGTAAGATCGTAGCTCTGGGGAGGCCAGCACACCAGGGAGACACCTGTCCTGAAGGTAGGAAGGCAGGACAGGTAGTGTAAGAGTGGAGGAGACCCCCAAGGTGGTCGGCAGTGTGGCCACACTGAGTGGCTGCCCACAGCTCGGAGGCGGGATGTAGACCAGCGGCTGGCTTGGGGTCAGTACTGTCCCTGGCTGAAATGACAGGGGGACTTTTTGCATAGCTGGTGTCTGAGCTGCAGGAAAACACACTCGACTCAAACTAAAGGAGGCTGGGATGGGTGCAGAAGTGGGAATGGCAGTTGGTGTGGCCGCTGGCATGGGCGTGGGGGCCGGAGTAAAGATTGGGGCTGGGGTGGGTGCAGGCACCGGCGCAGGAGCAAAGGCAGGGATGAGGGTGGGGGTAGAGGGTGGGCCGGAAGATGGAGTTGGGGCAGGCATCGGCACTGACGGAGGGGCAGGGGCTGCTGGAGGCGTGGATGCCGGCATGGGAGCCAGAACCGGAGTGGGGACAGGCGCGAGGACCAGGGTTGGAGCTGAAGGGGGCACAGAGGCCTGGATCAGAGCCAAGGGAGGAGCTGAAACAGGCACTGAGAGGGGAGTTGGAGCTGGAGCCGACAGGGGAACGGGACCTGACGGGGGAGCCGAAGCTGGCACGGGCACCAAGACGGAGGCTGAAACTGAAAGGGGGCTCGAGTCAGAGATGAGCGTGGGCACTGATGGTGGTGCCGGGGCCAGTGCCGGGACCGGTGCTAAGGGAGGGGAAGGGGCCGGAACCGAAGTGGCGACCTGGACGGGAACTAGCCCAGAGTGGGGCACCGGGGTGGGGACAGAAAGGGGAACCTGGAACGGATCTGGAACAGATGGGGGCACTGAAGCCGAACTGGGAGCAGGGGGGCAGATGGGGGCGGGCAGCTGACTGAAGTTAGTGGTAACCAGAGGCAGGCTTCCCTCCACGGGGACTCCAGTTCCCAGAGTTGCCAGAATGAAAGTATTCTTCTCCCCTACGCCATGCCGAGAGTCCAAAGCCTTCACCCCAGCTGCTGAGCAGTCCACCTGCTTGCTCATTTGGGTGCCGAGGGGTGCCCAGGAGCAATTGGCCCGGCTGTCACCAGCCTCGGTGCCGTCAGGAGCAGGCAGTTTGAGCCCGTCCCCTGGGCCGCTCAGCGGCACCAACAGGCCTTCAGCCTCCGCCACATTCCCAGCATAGTCCATTTGCGGCTGGGGGTCGTCAGGCTTGTCTTCTGACTTGTGCCCAAGTTTTTCTGCTGCACTGCCATCTGGGTCTGCCCCCCGGGCATTGCTGCCACTTCCAACTGCCGTGAGCTCCACCTGTAACGACAGAGCAGCGTGCCCGTCTTAGCTAGCTCTCTGTGGATGGTGCATGTGTCCCGAGGCCCAGGAGAGGCGACTGCGGGTCCTCTTTGCAACTCGACCAACCGGGTCTCGGCAGAAGCAAAGAGCAGCTGGCCAATTTCTGTCTCACATACAGCAACTCGGGAAATACCCTGTTCCTTCCTGCCCCCCTTCTTGGGATGGCAGACTGGGCACATCGCCCGGACAGTTCAGCTCCGCCCTTTGGCGGGTGACATGTGGCTCCACGTGGCCCCTTACCTTGGAAAAACTGCTGCTGACACAAAACTCCTGAGATCCAAAGCGCTGGCAGTCACCTGTCGTGGACTCCTCATCAGAAAGAGGTGCTCTTCTAGTATGGAAGACACAACCAGAGAAGGGCCATGAGGCCTAGTCTTTCGGCCACCACCACCTTCGGCAGAACGCCTCCTGCCTGCCTGGGTTCCCAATTTTAGTATATGTGCTGCCGAAGCGAGCGCTCTGCCTGGGTTCCCATGAAACCTTACTGTCTCACTGCCCTGGGTGACTTGGAAGAAGGCATAAGGAATCAGGGGTGGTGGGGGCAGGTTGCAAGCCAGAGCCTCCAAACCCAGCTTTGCAAATTCCTGCAAAGGAGCCCAATCTGACTAGACTACCCTTATTGGGCTGTATGTCCTATTCTCTGGGGCTCTCACCAGAAGTGTAGGGAATAGCCCAGCCCCTTTGCCTTGTCCCCAGAGCTTACCCATCAAGGTGACCAACCAGGAGGTAGGGGGCATGGCCAAAAAGGGATAGGTGAATCACAGAAGTTCTCAAAAAGCATATGCAAACCAGTTTTTTCTTAAGTGCAGTCTTATTTTAAGTCTATAAGGGAAGCTGGCTGCTGGTATTATAAGGGTAATCCTTTTCTAAAACAAATAACCACCTCCATTGTGTATCATGTTCTAAATCTGAATCATCACCTATTCAGCCGATGGGGTTACCTAGAGCAGATACCCATTTATTAGTGCATATAATGCTACTGATTCGAGGCCACCAGGTCACTGGGTGCTGAGGAGCATTTCAAGGGCAGGACTTCTTTCCCTCCAGGGTACCACCAAGCTCCAGCCAGTGCCTGACTTCCTACCTTTCTATCCTTTCCTGTATCCCATGTCTGACCAGCTCTTCACTCTCCCTCAGTTCTCCCAGCACACCACCACATTCTTTCCTATCCTAAAGGGAGGCCTTCAAGGCCACATACCCCAAATTTGATGTAGCAGGTTGCAAAGAGAAGGGCTCAAGGACAGAGAGCTGGGTCACAAAGGAGGAAAACCTAACTGAACCCCAAGCTACACAAAAAGTCTTCTCCAGATTTTCAGCAAGAACCTTAGGGGAAAAAACTAAAGACTAGGAGGGTGAAGTTGAAGACAGGACAAACACCCACTAGAAGTTTAGTTTTTTGGGGTATAGAAACCTACCACTGTCTGCCCAAGGGAGGACACTGATGGGGCAAGAGCCCAGGTGAGTGGCTGAGTAGGAGGTCCCAGTACAAGAATAAAGCTCCAGCAGAAGTGCTGTGGTGCAGTTCTGAGAGGGAGAAGCACAGGAATGCTCTGTGGCCCTCTGGGAAGGGGGACTGCCCTGGAGTTTGCCCCTCTTCTTTTCCCTCAGCTCTACAACAGCCCAGGAAGAAGCCAGCATCCACCTCACCAGCCACCCCAGCCTAGGATGGTCAGGGAGCCCACAGCCAACCTCCACAAAAATGGGGAAGGTCCTGCTAACCCCTTCCCTTTCACTGGAACAGGCCACCACTGATGGACTCCAAAATTGTACCTGGGGCAAGAGAAGCAAAAAAGGCAAGGGAGATCACCATAGGCCTCTCCCTGTCAGTTCAAGGCTTTGGAGGGGGCTACCTGGGGTCGGGGGGAGATCTGTTCCCTTTTAAAGGAAGCTAGGCTGGCAGAAGTGGGAGGGTTCCACTGCTGGCAATGACTGCTGGTGACAAACAGAAATGACTGTAAGGACAGGCAAGGGCTGGAGAAGCAGCCAGGGGTCTTGAGGCAGGGGAGGCAGGCGGCCCTAAGGGAAAGGGAAAACACACTTGGACATCAGCTCTCGGGAGACCAGAAAAGCGAGGCCCACACTCAGCCTTGGGCCAGGGAGAAGCGCATTCCAATTAGCCTGGCCAGTGATGGTTTGGGGAGGACAGCAGCAAGGGGAAACAAGCAACACCGCCTCCCTTCGCCAACTCCACCTGACAACTGCAGGGGAGAGATGTTATTTCTTTCCATCCTGTCCTGTCCTGACCATTCAAAGAGGGAGCCAGCTGTATACTCACCCCCTGCCTTTGCCAGGCTCCCACCCCACATAAAATCACCTTGAACTGAAGGCAGAAACCCCACCCTCAGAGGCAGTCACCTGCCCTCAAAGGCAGACCAGCACAGCCGGCCAGGCCTGGGGACTCTGGAGGTGGCAGCAGCAGTGAAAGCAGCAGTCCTGGCTATTCTAGCCATACCCAAGCCTGAGTGCCAGTCCCCGAGGCTCTGGGAAATCATCATGTGGCCATGTTTCAAATTCTCTGAGGAGAGGGGTATGCAAAGCTACGCAAACATTAAATTGCTCCATGGAGAGAAGAGTCTGGGACAGGAATAGCTTTTACAGGGAAGGGGTGCACAAAGAGAAGTGGGTCAGTCAGGCAAGGTTAGGAGGGTGCAGACGGGCAGGGAGGAGGGAGCAGGGGTCAAAGCAGGCTCCGGTCAGGCCTGAAAATCAATCCCTTTGTTTCTTCCCAGTAGAGATGACCCCAGGCTGTTGTGCTCAAGGCTTTGTTGAACTTAAACCAGAAATGTCCATAACCTATCAGGGTTGTTTTCCTAATTAGGAAGGGCTAGGGGGATCCCTGGGTGGTGCAGCGGTTTGGCGCCTGCCTTTGGCCCAGGGCGCGATCCTGGAGACCTGGGATCAAATCCCACGTCGGGCTCCCCGGTGCATGGAGCCTGCTTCTCCCTCTGCCTGTGTCTCTGCCTCTCTTTCTCTGTGTGACTATCATAGGTAAATAAAAATTAAAAAAAATCTTAAAAAAAAAAAAGGAAGGGCTAGTACCACTGTTAAACCAGACCTTTTCTCATTCCCGTTGGGCCCTGACCTCACCACACACATCATTAGGCTCCTCATATTCCAGCCCCTGTAGACTTTCCCTGCCTGAGTCCCACCACACCCCAAGACCACCTTCATGCCAGCCAGGGTCTTCCCCAAACAAACCATGTGGGAAATACCAACCCTCACCTCAAACTCCTACTCATCCCTCAAGATGAGCTCAGATGTCACCACCTCTGGAAAGCCTTCCCTTATTCCCCCCAGGAAGCCAGCTGTTCTTGCATCTAGACGCCCACAGGACCTGTACGTGTCGCGCTACAGCACTCACCATCAGTGCCCCATTACTACTGCTGGTTTGCTCTTAATAGATGTGTGTCCAATGAAGAAGTGAATGGATACGAGAAAGGAAGCAAGCAAGCGAAGCGAGGAGACAGAGAGTTAGCCGGAGGTCTAACTACAGTCAGCCCCCTAGGGCCCATAGGAAGCCCCTGTCCCTGTTCCTGTAGTCAAATGCCTCTGGTGAAGATGGGCAGGTTTCTCAAACACTTTTAAGAGCAGACCCCCTTGTACAGCCTGATAGCCAAAATTTATAAGTCCTACAAGTTGTAAAGGGCTGAGGAAGATGGTTTTTAAATAAAGTGAGACCACATTTCGGAACGCAGCTCTAGCTCAGCCTAGACTGTAGAGGAAGGCGACAATAAAGGGTAGATGAGATCAGAAGTGACAATGCTTAAAAGGTCATCTTAACTAGTAGGCATATTTGGTAATTTAACATCCCAAGAAAGGTCCATAAAGAGGGAAAAGCAGGTTTGGGGCTCACTTCTGGTTCCTTTTTCAGCACGGATTTAGAATGGAGAGCGAACCAAGGCAACCTGTACACTGATCTGTTAAAGGCTCTAGTCTAGATCTCTGCACCCAAGGCTCAACTGCCTAGAACAAGTGGCCAGTGAATGCTTACGCAAATCAGTACCACCACCCTGTCTTCCCCCAATCAGCCTCTTGGTAATTATCTAAGGACATACCTCACATGCAAAGGAAAATATCTTTCTTCTGCAGATCTGAGAAGAATTCTGTCTTATTTTCTTTAGTCCTGACTTTTATATTCTAAAATAAAATTCCTTTTAAGTCCATCTCTAACCTGTTCCTCAGTATAGAGAACATTAAACTATTAGGCACTAATGGCTTTTAAAAAAAATAAAAAGGTCTATTCTCCTAACCTGAACCTCAGACAAGTACACACTTCTCCTGTGGAGCGCAGAAGAAAAAAGAAGATATGCACAAAGATGCACATTCCTTTACCCTTCAAAATTGCCAACATCCCCCATGTGCATACACAGCCATGCACACTTCCGAGATTCACCCAAGGAAACACCGGAGTTGAATCTCAGAAAAAGCCATAAATGTTCAGTGTTCTAGGGGATTGATCTGATGCATTTGGATTTAAACAGTCGATGAGGGATGCCTGGGTAGCTCAGTGGTTGAGCATCTGCCTTCAGCTCAGGTCATGATCCTGGAGTCCTGGGATCGAGTCCCACATCAGGCTCCCCACACGGAGCCTGCTTCTCCCTCAGCCTGTGTCTCTACCTCTCTCTCTGTGTCTCTCATGAATAAATAAATAAAATTCTTTTAAAAAAATAAATAGTCAATTGACTGAAACAACAGCTAAACACCAGCAAGCGTGCCTTTTCTAAAAATGAGAGAGACAATGCAACTATCACCCATAGCTCTTGCTTTGGACGAAGGTCATGAAAGTCAAATATAAAATCTGAAGACCATTTTGAGTGTCCTTCCTACAGGGCATGATCAGTAAATGGCATAGCTTGGCCAACTAAATATCATGGTGAACAGAACATTTAAAACACACGCGGATTAGGCAGGCATCACCAACTCTCAATTTCGTATGACAACTATATTAAGCGGTTGGATCTTCCTGAGATACTTCATAAGGATCGTACTGCGAATCGTCATTAGCCTCGTGAGGCAGGAAAGCGCTGATCACCAGAATACCCACTAACAGCTCCCAGTATACAGCTGAATAATAAAACTGCCTTTCTTCCAGGCTTAGATCAAGGACCAAAAATATCTTATGCGTATCCTTGAGCACCGAACATGGATGCAGCAAATAAAAATTGCAATCGCCTGAGCTTCCCCTTACTCTACAGCCTGACAGTCCTTAATGAGTAGACAAATGTTAGTTGGCAAAAGGTCATCTGTTGGCCTCCTTACCTTCATCTGAACAGGGACAGCAAGGCAGGGCAGGCCATTCACACGGCCCCAGCTCCATCCCATCCCAGGGAAGTTAGAAACAATGGGAAAGCTCTGCCCCAGGATCCCTCCCAGGACCTTGCCGCAGCTGGCCCTCTGGTGAGTAGGTACAGCTCACAGGGAGCCAGAATGGCCACCTTCCCAGCCTCCTCACCTCTCCTCGTTGATGCCACACATGCGAATCCGGTCAGAACTGGTCCAGTTGTGCACGCCGCTGTAGAGTGGTGCTGTCGAGATCATGACAGCCACTCACCACCAGATAGGACCTGCTGTGGCCGCTCCCCCTGAGGAAAAAGAACTCCAAAAAATCAAAACTCCTGACAGGGACAGCTGCTTGAACCACCTTTATTGGGGAAACATTGAAATAAAGGCAATAATAGCACCAAAATGGCAAAGCAGTCTCTCCCACAAGCCAGCCTGCTATGGAAAATTAAGGTCCAAATGAGGATGAGGCCACACCAGCTTTCCAGGAATCCATAGGTTTCAGGATGGAGACAAGGGTGCTGTTAATCACCTAGAGCGATTTTTAAAATTATCTTAAAGACAGATATGCTAGAATGTTCAAGGAAATTCAATCTATTCCAGACAAATGAGATGACAGTATATTTTTCCACACACATTTAGCCTAACCAACTACAATTAGAGGGTTGTTCCCATATATGAACAATGCATTGAAAGACTACTGGGGATCTTTTTCTCGTCAACTCTCTAATCCATGGGTACTGAAGTATTTGAGTGACGTACCAATTTAAGTTCTCCAGAGGAAGCACACACTTTCTTTATAAGCCCTTCAAAAATACTGTTCTGATTTCGACTTGGGAATTCTATAGATCTAACACACATATTTAAGCGGGTTTAAAGCTCCCTCAAAATCAGATGCAATACTCCTTCTACTCTGACCACAAACAAGCAAACAAACAAAAAACAATGTTCCATCACAAACCACACATTTCTGTCCTTGTCCCTTTCTATCAGCCTTGTCATCCCTGTGACCTACCACCCCCTTCAGCAGCTAATGTCCAGCTGTCGCTGTTGACAACCACTGCACAGCCAATTCACCTAGAGAAAGACGCATCGGGGAAAAAAGAGGTTTACCCAATGAGCTTGTCTTGAGACCCTTTAACTCCCGAGTTAGCTAAAAGTCTTCTTCATCAAAGCTCGACTGAACAGAACCCTACAGTGATCAGAATTTTCTGCTGTTCTCCACTTTCCCAAGAAGTAAATCAGTACAATACAGTCACATCAGGGGTTTGTTTCACTTATTCTCTATATAATTTTCAGAGATTGTCCATGTTCAACATAAGAGCACTTATTCATTCAACAAACATTTATTGAGCTCCTACTATGTGCCAGCGCTCTCCTAGGCACCGGGGAGTCAACCATTACCCAAAAAGACCCCAAACCCCTGCCTTCATGGAATTTATATTCTAGCGGGATGAGACGGACAATACACATGTTAAATGATTCCTATTATAGGATGTTAGAAGGTGGTGTAACACACACTAAGGGGCATGGCGATGGTGGGGGCGCACAGAATGGGCTACGGTTTTCAGAGGGAGGTAATCAGCATAGGCCTGGCTGAGGAGACATTTAAACATCCTAAAGAAAATAAATAAACAAACAAACAAATAAACATCCTGAAGGAAGCGAAGGGGTCAGCCATGTGCATATCTGGGGGAAGAGCATTCCCATAGAGGGAACAATCTATGCAAAGGTCCTAGGGCAGGAGGCTATGTGCTAAGATCAAGAAAGAGCCAGTGGGCCAGATGGCTGGTGCAGAGGCTCCAAGCAAGGGAGGGAGGCAATATGGGGACAGTAGAGCCACAGCCCCCCATTCTCGTTCTGGTCCATATCCTGCTTCCTCTCTCCACAGCATAGGATACTGCTGCCCTTGCCTATCTTTGTACTTGCCCATCTCTTGGTTTTCCTGACCTGGTGCCTGCTTGTTTCTCCAGGGATTTCTCTCTCTCCTCCCTCCCCAGAACCCTAGCCTGAGTCCTGCTTGTCTCTCCTCACCTCTGCCAGGCCCCATCTCTTCCCTTTGCCTCTTTTTTTCCCTACCCCCATCTCACTCTCTCTCCCTTCCCCTTTCCCTCTCAATTTCTCTTTCTAGTCCCCTCTATTGCTCCTCCTCACCTCCCTCTTCCCCCTGTTATTCTCCCAGCCCCCCCTCTTCTTTGCTCCTCCTTTCCCTCTCCCATTTCTCTTGGCACAATTGGCGCACCCCCACCTCCTTCCCCTTCCCACCTTTCTTGCCCATCCTTTCCTCCTTTCTTTCCTCATCCTTGTTTTCCCTCCAGGCTCCCCTCTCTCCTCCCTCTCCTCCTCCTCCTTCCCTTTTTTCCTCCCCCTGCACCCCCCCCTCTACTCTTTGTCCCCGCCACAGCCTTCAGTCTCCCTCTCTTGTCTGTCTCCTTCTGTCTCCCTTGCCCTTTTTCTGCCTCTTTCTGTCTCTCTTAGCTCAGCCTGGCTCTCCCTTACCCCTCCCCTACCCCACCTCTCTCCATGAGTGTGGGGGGGGGCAGGTGGGTGTGTGAACCCTGTCCCTCCTCTCCAGTTCCTGAGCTCCCCTAGTTGTAACTCTCCCTTTCCACCCCCCCCCCACCAAAGACTTCCAAATCTGTATCTCTAGCCCTGACCTCTCTCCTTAGACCCAGACCAGAATTTCCAGCTGCCAGCAACTCGCTGTTAATTGGATGTCCACCAAGCCCCTCAAACTCAATGTGTCTCAAACCGAACTCATTATCTGTTCTCATAAACCTGCTCCCCACCCCCCACGCCCAGCATGTTTCCTATCTTAGTTAATGGCACCAGTATCCCCCCGCCTGGAAATTTCAGCGGCTTGTCTTCAACTCCATCGCTGCCCACAGCCAATCAGGAGTCAAGCCTTAATAATGCCATCTCCATCCTCTCCTTCTGCCCCTTCTTGCCACCACCCTGATATAGGCCCTCATCATCTCTCACCCAGAATATTACAATAGCCTCTTAACTGGTCCCTCTGCCTCCCATTTCTTGATTTTACAATCAATTCATCTTTTAAAGCACCAGTTCGATCACCTCACCCCCTCCCTCCTCAAAAGCTTTCAGTAGCTTACTGTCTTCAGAATCAAGCCCAAATTTCTTAGCACAGCAACGTGGGCTAAGAAGCCTCCCTGACCTGGCCTCAAACCTCCTCTGGTCTCCTCTTTGGCCACATCCTGCTATTTTCCTGCTGCCTCTGCCATCCCAGCTCCTGACCCTTCCCTGAACAGATCATCCAGTTTCAGGACTTTGCTGTTTCCTCACTAACCCTGAAATGGCCTCTTCTGCGCCCCTCCTCCTCTCTGTCACCCCTCAAAGCCTGGCTTAAATGTCATCGTGTCATCTCCCCAGCCCCTGATCCATTAACTCTTCCCTCCTCACGGCACTGATTCCTACTCTTTGCAATGTGGTTAGCCAGGGGTGTGGCATGTGTCTCCACCAATCAAGTTACTTAAGGTAAGAAATTCTGTCTTTTCTGTCTCTGGTTCCTCTGCAATGTCTTGCGGATAGTAAGTACTCAGTAAATGAGTGTTATGTGGAACTGAATCCTGGATGAGAAATTGAGGTGGTGACCCTGAGAAATTACAAGAAGCAAAATCAACCCCCCCTAAAAGTGTCCACCAGGCTTAGTTACTGTAGACAAGAATGCTGTATTTCCCTGAAAGCACCATGCATTGCCCATAGCTCACCCTTAGCAGCTACCCCATTGCAGCATAGTTCATTGTCTCTGAGCTATTTTGCACCTCTGTAAATTGCAGGTAACTGATGGATATGCAAACTCTGTCTTGTTCCATAGAGTTTGGATTGACTTCCCTCCCCATTGTGGAAAAACCAGTTTTGCCTCCATTTGCAATTCAATTCCTTTACTCCATATAAATTTGTGCTTTTGGACTTTTTCTTTGAACCAGCTCTAACATCTATCTGGTTCCCTTGTTGATTAACGAGTAAAATAAAATCTTTAACACATGTTCATTTTTATATCTGTACAAGACTCATGGTTTTACCTTTTTCTGACAATTATCCTTAACATTCCTAAGACAGTTATGTGGGTTAACACATAATTTTAGAAAGATTTCAACAAAGGGTAAGACAAATGTATTGACTGTCCCCCCTGTTTCACATCAGTTTACCAGGACCCCATCCCATCACTGAACTTCCTGGTCCATCAAGTTTTAACTTTTTCTTAGAATATCTTGGGATATTAAGATATCAACAACAGCTCGGGGGCACCTGGGTAGCTCAGTCAGATAAATGTCCAACTCTTGATCTCAGCGCAAGTCTTAATCTCATGGTTGGTAGTGAGCTTGAGCCCAAGTTGGCTCAACTTTAAATAAAGCGCAAGTCTTAATCTCATGGTTGGTAGTGAGCTTGAGCCCACTTTAAATAAAAAACCAAAACACAACAACAGTTCAGCCTACTGACTGATATGCCAGTTACTTTTAAAAAATCTTTCCTCCCTATGAAGCATTAGAAGAATCAAGCAATAAAAGGGGTCATACTTGCATAAAATGAATTTTAACACAAAGTATAAGTTTTAGTGTCTATCTGAATACCTGCAGGCAGCAGATATAAGTCAGTCACCATTGCTTTTTCACTCTTGGGTTTATTTTTGTTCTATTTAGAGGGGGTTGGTAGTTTGTAGGGCCTGGGACAGAAATCAGAGGCAGGCAGGGAATGAATCCTGGCATTTGAAAACAGAACATACAAAATATCACCACCTAGATAAAGGAGTTTTTAGATCCCCCAAAACCACAATAACAACAACAACAAAAAGAAAACCAAGCAAAAACCAAAGTAATTACTAGACAAAACCACACATTTTAGCACTACCTGGAGGCACCATCATTTTCACAAGATCCTGAAGACAGAATATTTGCTTCACCTTGGCTTCCCACTCTTCTGTTAGGAATTTCTTAGGGCAACCTCTCTTCCTATGTAGAGCCCACTGCTGCTATTAACAGTAGCCGTTGCAGAGGAGGGGAGGAGAGGGGTAGAACTCACAGACAAGAGGGCACTGAGCTAAGTGGTCTACATAAGAAGACAAGACTGGCCCTCCTGAGTCAGAGAACAAGCAAAGGGAACTTCCAAAGAAGCACTGACTGGTGTCAATGTCCACACAGCATAGGAGGAGTCAAAATGGCTAATGTACACCAATGTTTCCTAAGCCAGAATCACCAAGGTACTTGTTCAAACTAGAGGTTCATAAGTTTCAGCCCTGGAGATTCTGGTTCAGTAGGCCTAGTGTTTGGTTTCGTCCTTATCACATCCAATCAAATTAGTAACCATTCTACTGTACACTACTTCTCAGGAGAGGTAAGCAAAAAGGAAAAACCCTATAGACATACCACACTTGGTAGATTCTGCTGGTGTGCACACTTAGGTACCGACTTGCTTCTGCTCACAGAGCCCGACTGACATGTGGTATGCTTTCTCAATGTCTCTCTTGCTCTTTCCGATGGGAACCATCACATGAAAGGCTGAAGGCAAAGCTCCTAAAAGGAACTTCGAAGAAACCTGGTAATCCCGAGTGGCTCAGGAAGCACAGGCACAAGGATACAAAATACCTCAAAGGACTTTCCCAGATATCACAACCATGTAATTGTTAAGAAATGAACAGCTGCATGGCCCCAGACTCAAATGCTGGTCACTGCCTGGAAGGCAGTGGGACCACTGTGAGCTATCCCCACTTTGGAGGGAAAAACTCAAAAGGCACATCCAACTCACAGTGAGAACAAAGGAGAGCACATGCTCCACCAACCCGACGGGATAAAGCACTGGCTGAAAAAATAAAGACATGCACCATTTCGATTTAGCAGGCACATGCACACACCTTAAGTAGAGGGACTGACCGAGATCCAAGGGGATGAATCTAGCAAGCCAACAGCAGAAAGTAAGCAGTCAGACATAATTGGCACACCACAAAACAGGGGAAGCCAAAAAGAAAATGGACTAACAGGAGAGCAATAACTTTAAAACGGTGAAAATAGCAGCTAAGCTGAGGGCGAGCAGGTAGTAGAAGACAAACCATAATGAAGCAGAGATCTTTCCCCCAGAAAATCCAAAAGAAAAGAAAAAACCACTAGAAGACAAGGGCAGGTGTGGAAGGCATAAAAGAGAAGCCCACAGAATACAACAACTAAAAGAGAAAAAATGAAATAGGGGAACCTGAGATATTTCACCATCATGGGCCAAACTGAAACACTATGGGGAAGCACTGAACACAGACATTTTAGAAAAGTTTAGATAGAATATGTTATCAAAAGGGGAAGAAAATCAAATTATAATCCAAGTCAGGGTTAGGGGAGCTGGTAACAGGGAATGGGCAGCACAAAAATCGCAAAGGAGATTTTACAGATTGGGTGGACATTTTTTGTTTTGTTTTGAAATGAAGATGCCAAAACAAGCAGATTTCACAACTACAAGCAAAAGTATGGTCATCATGCGTATGAGGAAGAGAAGGACATGAAAGGCGGTAACACAGCATCTATCTGACAAAATGTCTTTACCTTGGTAAAACGTTAACCTCGAACATGGCCGGACAGGGTGTTTCTCCAGTGAGTTCCCCAGAATCAAGTAGCTTCCTTGGTAACCAAAGACCCCCTATGTGCAGAACAATTGGGCACTGGTAACATATGCAATACAACTAGGCCCCTTACACATAGCACGAAACCTGCCTGTTTATTCATGGCTGGACTCTTACCACCTAGCCAATACATTAGAAATTCAAGATTAAGGTCTCAGTTAACTAAATCTGGTAGTACTCCTCCAGGCTTCTTTTGGTTCATGTTGTCTGGTGACCTGGAAGCAATTATGATTTTAAAAAATGAAAGAGCCGGAAAATATTCTTCTTGAAGCCTGGCCCTGAATCTGTTCTCAAGAGAATAGGCGTGGCCAGTAGATGTTTAAGAAGGAGGGCTGGGTCAGTGATGACTAATGTGTAAAGAAAACCAACTTTGGGACCTATTGCTCCAGCAGAAATTCAGAGCTCTGGGTACAGCTCCCATAAGACAGAGACATCCACCTTCAAACCTCACAAAATCAAAGGAGAAGCCAGCCCATTACCCCACTCTGGAAAAAGTGGCCTCTAAGACACCCCCAAGGAGATCCAAGAGACCATTGGCATTTAGATCCAGGGGCTGAAGGGAAGAGGCTAGGACTTCCATCTAGTCATTGAAGTGCCTTTAGAGAGAGGTCAAAATGTCTCAAAATCAGTGTTTTCAACAGGAAAGTGTACCCATACCTAATAAGGATAACTTTAACCTGCCTTTAGATATGGAACCCCTACCACAGATCTGACTCTCCCTGTTGCTTTGCCTTCTTCCATGTGTACTCAACAGGAGACGAGTGTTCCTATTTTCCCTGCTTGATCCTATATCCCAAACCTCATCCCCTCATGAGGAAGTTCTCCCAATGTAAATTGTCCTAATTTAATGATTTCCCATAGAAAGATATTCTAATATCTTCCACAGGCTTTCCCTCCAATATCTACATCCCCTTACCTTTCCCTACCATTAACCAAATATCATTCCCTGAAACTCAAGAGTCCCTTATACATGCCCCAATCACTTTACTTTGCTTCCCTTCATGCAAATAGATTCCTCTATCACTACACACCACCATACACAAATACACACACACACACACACACACACACACAAAATCAACTAGAAATAATCTGCTGGGCAACTGAAAGGAGGAAGGGGCCCTCTGCACTGTTCATCCCAGCCTTCTGCCTGACTAATCTACTGTAGCACTTTCTAGTTTCCCTGGGGGGGGGGTTTCTACCCAAATATTTCTACTGGTTCTACCCCAAGGGATAAGTCTTATAGGAGACACTGCATCTTGTTCCCAGATACATTTAATTCCTCTATTTACTGAGAAGACTAAGTAGTTGCCCGCACGAGGCTATAGCATGAACACCTTCATAGACTCCTTGCTACCTCCATGTTTAAAAACCTGGCCCCCAAAAAAAAACCTGGCCCATAAACATTTATGAGACTGTTGGATACAAAATTATTTTAACTATCTGTTAAACATACAAGAGTTTGGGACGCCTGGGTGGCTCAGTGGTTGAGCATTTGCCTTTGGCTCAGGGTGTGATCCTGGAGTCCTGGGATCGAGTCCTGAATTGGGCTCCCTGCATGGAGCCTGCTTCTCCTCCCTCTGCCTGTGTCTCTGCCTCTCTCTGTGTGTCTCTCATGACTAAATAAATAAAATATTTTAAAAATAAATAAATAAACATACAAGAGCTTACTCATTCAAATGAATGTAGTTACCTCCAAAGTAGTCACCTTGGGAGGCTAGACATTCATCTCAATGGACTGGCCAGGGCTTACAATCTCCCTGCGCACTTCAGGGAGATTACTATTACCATCCTAACCCTTTCCAATCCCAACCATACCCTTTCTCAATTGCCTCACTAGTGCTGGATCCCCACTCATTCAGAGACAATTTGATGTTTAAAAACTGCCAAAATTGGGCAGCCCGGGTGGCTCAGTGGTTTAGCACCACCTCCAGCCCAGGGTGTGATCCTGGAGACCCGGGATCGAGTCCCATGTCAGGCTCTCTTCCTGGAGCCTGCTTCTCCCTCTGCCTGTGTCTCTGCCTCTCTCTCTGTGTGTGTGTCTCTCATGAATAAACAAAATCTTTAAAAAACAAACAAACAAACAAAAACCCTGCCAAAATCCATTCAGAGCCTAGATCTAGTCACACAGCAGCAACACTGCTGAAGAGTGATATAGTCTATTATCCACAGCCTATACTATGTGTGTGTTGGAGGGTAGTTGAGGAGAGCATTTTCAGCCCCTACCTGCCAGCCTCTCTAGTCCCCCATTATGTCCATTTACTGCATCATCTGCAAAATGGGAATAAATGAGTCCCTACTTCAAGTTGAGAATAGGAGACACGGGGCTGGGTCAGTCAGGAGAGTGTATGACTCTTGATCTGAGGGTCATGAGTTCAAGTCCCACGTTAGGTGTAGAGCTTGGTTTAAAAAAATAAAGTTGAAGGACCAAAGGTAATCAATTCCAACAATGAAGGAGGCAAAAAGCAAAAAAGTTTTCATCTCTTACCATTTTCATACCACCAGTTCGTTTAGCTTTTCTACCCACTGCCATACTTTTTCCCTATTATTCAAATAGTACTTCCATCTCCTGCTGTAAGGAAGTAATTTTACCCCATTTAAGGAAAACATCTCATCATAGCTTTATACTAGCTAGACCTAGGATCTAGCCACAAGACTTTATGCCACTTCTAGGTATCACCAGTTGCTAGAAAACCTAAGCGATCACCATGAAATTCATCAGTCCTTTTCAAAATGCAAAGCCACCTCAAAATGGCACTTTAAGTAACTACGGTCATTTTTGTTTTTAGCACTTCTCATTTCTGCTAGATCAAAAATAAGAGTTGGCTTTCCTCAGAAGAACCATGTGAATATTTGGTGTGTCTTTCACACTCAAAAGTTGGATCATTGCAATCTGAGACCTGAATCCCTTTTGGGAGCTTCTGTGTCTTCCATGCCACGGACTGGGACAGTGGCCCTTGGGCATCTCCATTTCAATATACTGCATTCATGATATGGAATTTTTCATCTAATTTTTTTTATTTTTTTATTTATTTACGATAGTCATACAGAGAGAGAGAGAGGCAGAGACACAGGCAGAGGGAGAAGCAGGCTCCATGCACCGGGAGCCCGACGTGGGATTCGATCCCGGGTCTCCAGGATCGCGCCCTGGGCCAAAGGCAGGCGCCAAACCACTGCGCCACCCAGGGATCCCTGGAATTTTTCATCTAAAGTGGATTTCTCCTGGGATCCCTGGGTGGCGCAGCAGTTTAGCGCCTGCCTTTGGCCCAGGGCGCGATCCTGGAGACCTGGGATCGAATCCCACGTCGGGCTCCCGGTGCATGGAGCCTGCTTCTCCCTCTGCCTGTGTCTCTGCCTCTCTCTCTCTCTCTCTCTCTCTCTCTGTGTGACTATCATAAATAAATAAAAATTAAAAAAAAATAAAGTGGATTCCTCCTCAACAAACTTTTGCCTTTTTTTGTCTCCTGGACCTCCCACACAAATAATTGGAAAAGCCATTATCAGACTATTTTTTCTACTCTCACCAACTCATTTTATATAAATTACTCATATATATAAATATATACACATACATATATAGTATATATACACATATATACTCAGTATATATACGATAGAGTATATACATATAATGCATATGTATGTGTATATACAGTATATAGTATATATACACATTATGTGTATGTGTATATATAATATATAGTACATACATATAATGTATGCATATATATCATATAATATATATTATATTAATGTATGTGTATATATAATATATAATATATACATATAGTATGTGTGTATATTAATGTATGTGTATATATAATATATAATATATACATATAGTATGTGTGTACACACACACAATTACCTCACAGAGTTTCGAACTCTCAGTATTGACTCAACCTCTTTCCGATCTACAGGTTCCCCAAGGCTAGAAAGAATATTTTCTATTTCTTTTAATCACCACTCCCAATAGTGTCTAGCATGATACAAGGCATATAGTATGTGCTCAGTAAATACTTGCTAAACTACTGGGAAAAACTGAAATCCTCTCTAGGTCATATGGAAACCAAGAATCCCACGTAAAAAGCACTGGGTCTGTGGATGCCTTTTACTTCCCTTGCTCTCATATACACTTTCTCTCCCTTCTTTTCCTTGCTTCCATAATAAAGACAGTCACAGAAATACAATCAGGGCAGGGCAAAACAAAGTCAACTTCCGGTTATCTGAGCGTGGTTTAGCCGCAGCTAATTTTTAAATCCAGCCAATTGATGGACTTCCTTCTGCTACTTATAGTAGATGTGTACTCAGGGAACAACGCATTTTAACGTCTGCCTAAGCAGAATATAAATTGGAAGGTAAATCTGCTGGGTAGGGGGACAGGTAGAGAATAACACATTTCCAAGCCAAAAAGAAATTATTAATTTGTGAACTAATCTATTGTTTGAAATTGGCCTGCTATCACTCTCTCCCTATATTGGCATAGCTGACTGTTGGCATCAAAGTCCACTCTGGCTGCAGAAAGGATCTCTATATTGTAGCCCATCTTTTTTTCAGTGTTGAAAAGTTTGGTTTGGTGATACCTGAAGTATTCAAAACATGTTTTCAACCATCCAATCACTGATGAACATCCTTGTCATAGAGCCATAAGAGACCCAGGCTCTATCTACCAGCCTTTGTAGAACTTCCAGATGTCAGAGACATCTGGAAAGCCCAACCAGTCATAATTAAATACAGCAGCCCTTTTCAGAAAGCAATGGTTGTTTAAAATGTCACCCTAGTAAACTAGGCTTGGGTCATTTTTTTAAGCATAGCCCAAAATGTCCCCTAAAGTTTCAACTGGATATACAGTCTTCAGTTCCTGCCCTAAAATACTGAGCAGTGTTACAGCACAGCTGCTAAAGAAGCTGCCACTTTCACCTCAAAGGTGGATGCAATAATGGAGTGATGAGCCAAGCTATTTCTTCCTATCACACTGTAAATGCTAAATATGTACTAATACAACAGGAATATGGAGAAAGAGCACAGAAAATCAAGATATATGGGGAGTGCTCAGGAGCTATTTATGGTTTTTATTTGCCACCATGTTTACCATAGAGTAATATAAAAGGTCATAGGACTCAACAGAATAAGAAAAACTAGATTATAATATAATAATAGATGCCACTTATTGGGCTCCTGCTATGGACCTGATCTGCTATGTAGATATCGTCTTGTGCAATCCTCAGAGTCCCGTGAAACTGGGGTTATCATCCCCGTTTTATAGATGAGAAAACTGAGGCTCAAGAAAGTTAAGTGATTTGCTTCCTGTCACACGGTTAGGGAGTACAACAGCAAGGACTCTAACTTAAGGCAGCATGTCTCCGAAGCCCTCCAGGTGATTCTGAGACATGCTAAAGTTTGAGAACCACTGCAAGACACTAACCTATATGAGGTGCGACCAAGTTAAACTGAGTAAAGCCTCATCATCATGAGACATCTAATCACCTCATGGATCCAGGTATAGAGTGCACTGACTCATCCTGGGGATCAGTCATGTACAGTGCACTTCTCTATAGAACTTGGAAAAATGAAAGCCTGCTTGTTTTCCTGGTCCCCGGACACCAACATTATAGCAAAACTTGACTATACCCTTAAATGGCACTAACACTAAGATTTCTAGGCATACCTTAGCAATGAGGTAACAAATTTTGTTCCTTAGCCGACAGTTGGTAAAGAAGCCTGAAACACAAAGCTTTGCTGCCCCTCAGTACTCTCAATTCTTCACGGACACTTAACTTAAGATCTTCTTAAAATCCAAATGAAGACATATCCTGCCTCACATACTCTCAATGAATAAATCTGAAAATTACCACATTTTACAAATAATAAATCATCACTCTTCAAATTCATCACAATTCATTGACCAGGGAAAATATGACCTTGACATGCAGCCTGCAGCCACTTTTTAAACAATTATCCATTTTTAAATGTTTTATGGGGAAAGGATGGCATCTGCTTAAAAAAAGGGGCGGGGAGAGGGAAAAAGAACAGCATATTTGAATTATGGGGATTGAAGGCAGAGTTAAATTTTACTCCTGACCAAAATTCAACTTCAGTTCACCAAAGAAAGTTTTTGTCATGAAAGACTGCTTTCAAGTTATGAACAGTGGGAAAGGGTACAATTTAGAAAAAGAACAGCTTCTACATTACTTAAAGGATAACCATTCAAAAACTGGCATTAGGAAAGCCCAGTTAGTATGTAAGATTATGTAAAATATTGTACTAGCATCCTAGTGGCCAAAAGATAGATTACCTCTTATTACCTCCCTCTTTGGCCATCCTGACACTACACCTTCTGGCAAGCACAGACTCATACCTCACTGGAACTCCAGCATTAAGAAATTTCCTTTCATTCTGAAAACTCAAAGGTCTAGGGTCTTCCTTCCCCACTTACATAATCATCAGTGGCTTCTCCTCTTTCCCATCTGCTTTATACCAACAATGTCCACTTTCCCCCATGCTCTCTCTGTGCCACTCTAGTTAGTGTTCATTTTGCCACCCATCTTAACCATGAACTCCTCCTCTCTCAATCCCAGATGGTGGCTGGTGCTGGAAAACAGCTCTCTACCCTACTGTGGCCGTTCTATTCCTTCTCAAATTGAGCTCAGCTTGTAATCAATGAACCAGTCCAGATGCCCAACCCCTGATTAGCACCTCTCCTCCATATACCCCCCCTACCCCTCAATTCTGGCCCAAGGCTCTAGGGCCGCTGTTCTTTATCCTGTTTCACTCTGGAATTTCCATAATTCACCTCCCTATATCTAGGATTCCTTCCACTTGCAGATGGAAAAACTGGTGTATTCCCACATTCTCCTTCTTTTAAGGCCATTCTACTTAGGTCAGTGAATCCCTTACCCCATCCAGTACCCTTATTCTAGTCTAAATTTTCTAACTAATGCTTAGACTTGTGAGCCCTGGATCTCAGCTAACCTCTACTTCCTGGGGTCTCCCAGGACAACAGCTATCCAAGGCAACTTTTTACTTTCCCTGACACTAGCTCTACATGACATGTGAGCAAACAAACATCTTCCCCCTTTGGCTCCTTATTCCACCCTCTTTCACATTCTGCATTTTTTAGCCTATATACTATCTCTAAATTCTCTATTTCCCTATGGGTATACATGTATATTTCTTCCTATAAGCCAGTTTCTCTCCAACCCTATTTTTACTCAAGATCGTCCTCTGTCTTGCACCAACCTTAGTGATTCTAGCATGAAAGTGTAAAGAGTCTTCAAGGTTCTTCGAGCTTTTTACTTTGGAAAACCTTAGCCTGGAAATTTCAGGGTTCCACTTTTTCCTTAGTTGGCCCTAACATGAAGCCAGTGATGATCACTTTTCTCCCCCCTTCATTGCCTAAACCCCCTCTTGACTTTTCCTTTTGTCTTCCTTCTTTCTAGTATTCAAGTCCTTTTCTCCCATAATTCTGTTCCCCTAAAAGAAGCCCCTCTCCGAAACCCATAAGCCAAACTCATCATGTGAGGTTCTCTGGCACCTGTACTAAACTTTTTTTTTCCTATGTAGTGAACTACAGCATGAATAAAGCAAACAGACCCCTGAAGGAAACCCTCTTGCTTCCCCAAAAAGTCTAGGCCACAGGGAGTTTATGCCTTACCAGCTCTAGGTCATCAAAACAGCCAGATCGCTGTGTGTCCTTGCTGCTGCCACCATTTCCTCTGGAACTCCCCTCCATTCTGCCCAATTCAGACTCCAACAACAGAACTCGCCAGGGACTTAGCTTTCTTCTGCTCTATCCCAATAATTTGCTGTATTTTCCTTATGGCCTATTCTAAAGAAACAGTCCTCCTTAACCTCCTCCTCCATCTAAGACACCGGGAGCCAGAATAGAAAGAAACCTACCCTTGCTGCATAGCTGGTAACAGGGTCAGCCCTCTTAAAGTCAATTTGAGTAAGGCTCTGTGCCCAATGGCCTGTGCCTCTTATCCTTCCCATCTATCCCAAAGGTGGCTGCCTCAGTTGCTTTATCAAAAGATGAGTCTGCCTATCAATAGCCACATAGCAGCTTATGCAAACCGAACCGACCATGTCCCTCTTAAACTCTATCAACCTTCAGATTCTCTTAACTTGAATAACTAAGTCCCCTGCTCCTGCTAGCTCCCCTAGTCCTTCTTACTAACTTTGCTTTTCCATAAAAAATTTTACAGGTTCCTCCCCCAAACTTCTGCTTCTATTTGGAGCCTCTGGGTGATTTCGGGGATTGGGTTATCCCATTTAATCCCCAGTGGGATCCTCCAAATTTCTTTAGTACCATATGCTGACATGGCCATCCAATTTGAGTACCCCTAAACTCTGCTCCATCTCCCCCAAAATAAAGCTCCCTCTATCCCAACATTCAAGGACAGGTCAGGTAAACAGAGAACGAGATGACCTTTAAAGTCCCTTCCAACCTTGGGATTTTATTATAAACCTAGTCCACTTCCAACACCAAATGCGTCCCCTGTTCATTTCCCCAACGTTTGTCAGGGGCCAGACTTTGAGAAATCCCCTTCTAAGTTGAAAGAGCCATGTGGCCAACCAGGATAACACTAACGTACAACTGCACCCCCAGAAGTCTCATCAAAGATTTTTTGCAATTGTACTCCACCTCTGTGCGACGGGGACAATCTCCAAACTGCCTTGAGAGTATTCAGCTCTCGCACGAAGTTAGCAAGCCCCCTTCCCGCTCTCGCGTAAAGAGCCCCTAAACCCCGAGCTAGTCGCATCCTCACCAAGCGATGCCTGTCCTTACTGTCTACTCTAGGAGACACCAATAATGAATAAGTATCACCACATCGACAGCTTCCTACAGCCAACACTGAAAATTTCAAAACAATAAAACAAAAACATAGTGCTGGCCCTGGGGGAGGGGGGAGGTGCGGGCGGAATAGAAGGGCACCTCCAATGGCCTGGGCTGTTGGCCTCCGGCTTTCGGTGTGCTTCCCTCTCGCCTTTCCCCTCGACCACATCTTTCCCTACAAAAATCTCCCGCCCCTCCATAACACGAAATCCCCAGCCGAGGTGCGGTCGGCTCCTCCCAGCCCTACCCCGGACGTCCCTCTGGCCCAGCCTTCCCCTCGGCGGGACCCCGGCGAGGAGGGCCCCCTCCACCGTCCAATTCACCTCCCTGTCCCTTCCTGGGCCTCTGGGCGCCCCTGCAGGGCTCTGTCCCGAAGCAGAACCTCAAGGAGCCAAGCCCACGAGGCCCGTCGCGGGACCCACCCCCCCCTTCCTTCTCCCAGCACCTCGTCCTCCATGCACCCGGCCCCCGGGGCTCTTCGTCGTCGTCGTCCGGGCTCGTACCGCCCCCCGTCGGGGGCTCCACCCCCCGCCTGCCCCCGCCCCCAGGCCGGCCCCCTCCCCACCACGCACCGCCTGCGCCCTCTGCCCCGGCACGGGACTCCCTTTGGCCTCCGTTCCCCGCCCAGAAGCGGCGGCGGCGGCGGCAGCAACGGCTGCGGCGGCCCCAGCAGGAGCAGCAGCGGCGGCGGCAGCGGCGGCGGCGGCAGCAGCGCCGCCCCGGCCCCGCCCCGCCGCCCGCCGGAGCCCCACGCCCCGCCCGCCCGCCCCGCCGCCGGACTGCTCCCCCCGAAGCCCACCAGTGAGCCCCCCCCCACTTCCCAGCCGTGATCCGTTCGAATCCAGCTCCGCTGGGCCTGCTGTCTGTTCCTCACGCCCCTTAGGACCCGGGGTGGGGAGCCCTGGGGTTCGCGGCCATCCCTCTCCCTCCTTCAAGGGCTGAGGGATTGCCCCTGATCCCGAAACCCGGCCCCGTAACCGGAGCCTCCCTCCTTCCACCCCTCGGCTTCGCTCTCAGACCCCTTGCCTCAGGCCTGGCGCGGAGCGGGTGGAGAGCTTGAACGCCGGATCTCCCCCTGGCTTGCCGGGGCTAGTATGAATTGCCCCCATCTCATCCTCCTTCAATTTAAGCCCCCTCCCCGCCGCGCCCGGCCCGGCGGCCCCCGCCCCTACAGCGAGGGCAGCGGAGCCAGGGTGCTCCGAAGTCATCCCCCGCCTTTTTTCCAGGGACTCGGATAATTGCCCCTGCCCCCATCACAGCACTCCCACTCCCGAACCCAGGCCCCGCCGCCACCTAGGGGTACCCCTTACCCTATGGTTCCCGCACCCCAACACTGAGGAGAAAGCAGCCCTGAAGAGCAACCGTCGCACCTCCCCTCAGAGGTTGGAGGGTATTTTCTCCAGGTCTCTTCAAGACTTCATCACGGACAGCCGCCCCCCCCCCAAAAAAAACAAGCCCTTTCTCGCCCTGCCCTCCTGGCCAGCCTCCCTTCGGATCACTGGATCCTTGGATGGCGGGGGGGGGGGGTGTTGTTAGGGCCAGGTAGTTAACAAGACCGTAGCCTCCACCTCCCTTTCTGAGGAGTGGGGTAATTCCAATGGTTCCCCCCCAGGATCAACCCGACCCCCGTTTCCATGGAGACCCCCGCCCAGCCAGGAAGAAGACTCTCAGATCGTGGCGAACAAGTCTCACCTGGCTAAGGGAGAAGGGGGTGAGGAGGGGGTAGGGTAGGGCAGGGATGGGGTACGAAGGTGGAAGTGGAGGGGAGCTGTCCCGAAGGGAGGGGCGAGGGCAGAGCGAGCTCCAGGGAGCGCTACGTCCGGGGACACGAAGAGGACGGCGCCCCCGGGGGGCAAGCGGAGCGGCCGCGGGGCGAAGAAGGGACAGGGTTGAGAAAAGGCTTAAGATAGAAAGAAGCGGGTGGGGGGATACGAAAAAGCCGGGGAGTCAAAAGAGGTGGAGGGGTTGGGGGAGAGAAAAAAAAGACGCACCTGTTCCCGGGTCGGCTCCGCGGGGAGGCTCAGGCCGCCACCCGGGCTCCCTCTCACCCACTCTGAGCCTCCACCCGCCTAATACTGCCCCGATCTGATGCCCCCCTTCCGCCCCTTATCGCCACCGACCTCCTTCTCCTCTCTCTCGGCGGCGGCGGCGGTCGGACTCTAGGAACTGAGAGGAAGAAGGGAGGGCTCGGCAAAGCGGAGGAGAGACAGAGCCACACACTGGCAGCAGCCGCGGCAAGCGAAAGAGTGAGGGGGAGAGCGGTGTGTGTGTGTGTCTGTGTGTGCGAGCGAAGCCTGGTGGAGTGGGTGCCGGTCGCAGGGCTCGACGGGAAGTGGAGTCCGGCGGGGTTCGCGGGCGGCGCCAGCCGCCGCTCCACGGGACTACAACTCCCAGAATGCCACCTGTCGGGGGGAGGAATGGGGAGGTGGAGGCGAAGGGAGGGAGCCAGCGAGAGAGGGAGGGACGAAAGCAGGGAGCAAGCGGCGGCGAAGGGGGCAGAGCCAAGCAGCCCCGGTGACACTGGGAGGGGAGGGGAGGAGGAGGGGATCGCTGCGAGGACCAAGCGGATTCCGGAGAGGGAGGCAGCAGCAGTGGCTGCAGCAAGCCGGGCAAAAAGCTAGACTCCCAGGAGAGGCGGAGGCACTCAATCCTAGGGGCTGCAAGAGCCCCACGCCCCCAGCCCTCAATGTCCCTCGAATGAGAAGATTGAGGAAAGGAAAAGATCAGGGCGCCAAGGCCAGGGGTTTCTGTTTCTTTCCCCCAAGCCTCCCCACCATATGCCCCGACCTGACTTTCTCAGGCCACTGGTGCCCGATCCAATGTGCAAATCCAGAGACCCCAGATCTCCCCTGTCGGGCAGCACAAAACAGACACATTCAGTCCCCTTCTCCCAGGAGCCTGAGGGAAGCCCCCTTGCTGGCAGGGCGTGACTCCCCCTTCTTCCCCGCCCCCGTGGTCGCCACCCCCCATGCCCCTCTCCAGAACCCCTCCCCTGAAGCCTGGGCTCGCTTCTTCCTACCTCACAAGAAACGGAGTCCCTCCGGGGGCGACTACCCAGCCCCCTCCTTTATACTGGGTCGCTACCCACCAGTATCTCCTTAGCGTTGCCCCCCTCACCGAAGTAATAGTGGGGGCGACCCAAGTTGGATTGGTGGCTACTTTCCCTCAGAGACTAGCCGTCCTTGGCCACGCCGACCCTGTGTAGAGATAGAGAAGCACATTAATACCGCCCCCCAAAGTTCAGATCCCCGGGGAAATGGCTTACAAGGAAAGTGGGGTTGGTAGTGGAAGTGAGCTGGGGGTGAATCTCAATCCTCAAACCTCGCTGTAGGCGTGGAAACCAAGGGATTCCTCCCTTTCCTTGGAAGCCATCAAATCGCTTGAGGGGGGAATGGGGGTACGTTATCTTAACCCAAATGTCCACACGACTCGAAGCGACGCTACATATAGGAATAAGATACGAACTAGGCTGCTGCCGCGGGAGGGAGAGTATACTGCCGCCCCCGCCACGCCGTCGTCCACCCTCAAACACACACCCCTAGGGGAGTCAGATGGCCTAGGAAGTGGGGGGAGCCGGTGGGAGTGCAGGAGAGTGAAAGGGTTGTGGTAAGGAGGGTCCGCGGCCCCCTGAGAGCAAAATCCAGATGCTAAGAGGTGGGTGGGGGGTGCGGCATAAATGCAGACGGTGTCTTTCCTTGCTTTTCCCGGAATCGCCGCCAAACACCGTCTAACACTCGTAGTTGCTTACCAGTCAGTCCCCTAGCCCCATTTGTGCGCGTGAGGCGGCCGGAGCCCGGGAAGCCCGGGCACAAACTCCGCGGAAGCTGGCCTTCGCCGCCGCCGCGCTGCTGCGGGCCTCCCTCCCTCCGCTGTCGGCCCCGCGGATCTACCTTCGCCCCCGGCCGAGGCCAGACCCCGCTCGCAACTCCACGCCCCTACTCCACCCCCGGCTCCCCCCTTCGCCCTCTCCCCGCGGGTCCGGCCCAGCCCCTAGCGCCGCCCCGCCCTACCGCTCGGTCCCGAGCCCAGCAAGTGCCCCGAACTCGCCCCCCGCCCCCACGCCCAGGCCAGTCCGGCGGGGCCTTGTTTCCCCCTCCCGCCGCGCCCCGCCCCCGAATCCACGTCCTACTTCGCCACCCAACTCGGCCCGGTCCGGGTTCGGCCCGCACCCAGGCCACTGGAGTCTCTGGTTCGGTCCAGTGTACGGCCACCCACCCCGCCCTTGCCTGGGTGCCGGCCTGGCCCGCTGCCTGCGCCCGCCGAGCCGGCCCAGGCGCGCGGTCCGGGTCTGGGTCCCGGTGCCGGCCTCGGTCCCAGCGGCGTTGCCGCGTCTCGCCACGAGGGCTCGGTCCACGCAAGATCTGAACCCGCGCGGGGTGGGGGCCGCGGAAAGCAAGTTTCTTTATCTTCCCTCCGCCCCCGCCGCAGGGCCGCGCCATCCCCCACCCCCCACGGCGCCCCTTCACCTGGGCAGAGCCCCCCGGCCGCTGTCGCAACTTTGCTCTTCTCCACGCCGCCGGGGAAGCGGGCGAAGCGAGAGGAGGAGGGAGGTGGCAGGGGGGGGTGCTGGGATCAGGCCTCTGAGCTCCGGGAGGACACGTGGGGGAGGAGGGGAAGGAGGAGGAGGAGGAAGGGGGGGCGGGCCTGCAGTTCTCGGGGCTCCCCCTGCCAGCCCCGGGGAAGCCGGAACCTCTCCGGGCAGCCACAGACCCCGCACTGGCCACGAGGGAAGAACGGAGCCACCTTCCCCGGCCAGCCCCCAGCTCCAGGAAGGGGGGGCGGAGAGCAACGCCGCTCGGGGTCGGAGAGCGAGCGTTTTCGCTCGTGCTTTATGTGTGACTCTCTATCTCCGTTTAGCCTCCGTATATGGGGGGGCGTGGGGTCTTGCATGCAAGGGGCGGCGCGCTCCCGCCGGACGCCCCGCCCCTTCCCCGGCCCCCCACTTCCCTAACCCGGGCGACCTCGGTGCAAGGCTCTGGCGCTCGTGCACCGAGGCCGCCCGCGGGCGCAGCCCCAGCCCCGGCGCCGAAGTGGGACAGGTGCCGGGGAAGGAGAAATGCCGGGGCTCGCTGCCTTGCCTCGCGTCTCCCGAGCGGCCCACCCTTAGTGGCAACCTTCGGTGCTGCAAACCCCCAGGGCTGCCTTCAAAGGATAGCCCCTGGCCTGGGCGTGGAGGCACCTTTGGGGGGGGGTGCCTGGAGCGAGAGGCCCGAGGGAGGTGGGAGGAGGGAGGAGGAGGGGGATGAAAGGTCTGTAAATGGGGAAGCCTGCACGACTTGGGGATGAAAACCTGGCTCGAGGAAAACTCTTGGCTTCTGCCCGTCCCCCAACCCTCCCAGGCTCCTCAGTCACCAAACCGAGCCCCCTTGACCCTTACCCTTTACCCTAATGACTCCCCGCCTGGCCAAAGGAATAAATCCTCATATGTGTTTACATCCCAGGCCATCCTGCCAACCCCAGGACTGAAGAGCCGAGAAGCCTGCGGTCCACATTGGAACTCTGATGACTTTACATTAACTCCGAGGAGGAGAGTAGCTTTCGAAGGAGCTGAAGCTAACGGCAGACTTGCTTTCAGTATTAGGGTGTTTCTTAGCAGCTCCAACCCTGAACCCGTGGTTGGGACTTCAAAGGCATTGCCTCAGCCTAGAGGGTATACGGGGAGGTGCCCAGCAGTTCCTGGAGGGTTCAGGGCTTTGTAAACACGGAATGTAAAATGAATAGCAGGAATTTGAAAAAAAAAATCTTTATGTGCAGATATATTGATATTATTTATTATATATTTATCTATACTAAGGAAGCCAGAGGGTCATTTGGACTAGAAGGAAGCCCTGACGGATTAATGTCTTCCTCCTCCTCCTCCTCCCTGCCCCCCTCCTTTGTCCCAGGCCCACAGAGGTTCCATCTCTAAGCTATGGGGTGTCTTCTTTCTGTTGAAAGGACTTTAGAGATGGCAGGTGAGACTTGCCGGGTATGTCTCCCTCACCTGGTTTAAAGGAGGAGTATTGTGGAGGAGGGTAAGCCACAAAGGTAGCAGTGGCTTTTCTGTTGTCTAAGGCCTGGTGTTCTGTGACCCCTATGGATTGTCCTCAACAGCCTCAAAATGTACTGCCAGCAACGTGAACATATCCCTTGCCATTTTGCCTGCTTTGGGAACTTCTTCCCTAGCTGTCTTATTTGGTCATTCCCACCCTCCTGTACATACTCCGCCCCCCAACACACACATACTTTAAAAAATGTTTGACCTAAGTTGCACCAAGGGAAAGTGAAAATTTGAAAAATATTCCTTTAAACTAATCAACATACAAATTCTAAAGGTATTATTAAGGTCTGAGGTATCACCTCTATTGGGCCTAATAATGCAGGCCCCACCGATTCTGCTTTGATTTAAATTGGTTGTCTTTGCTGATTTTAATTCATCTGGTAATTACTAAATTTCCACTTCTCTTAAGGGTCTTGGGGCCCTGGGGCTTCTTTTTTCTTTGCTTTGAGGCTGAAATGGATTCTGGACACCTCTGTTCCCCATTCATCTGTATCTCACCATTTGGCTGCATCATTTATCTGGTGAAATGAAGATTGGGGCAAGATGGTTATTTCCTGGCTCAAGTTCTAGCTTCTCTGAGCCCTTCCTGTTGGGGGCCACACTTCCTGCCTATGGGAGGTGATGGGAAATCAAGGAGCAGGGTAGGGAGAGCTGTGGGAAACCTTGTAAAGAGTAGAGATTAATGATTATTTTATTTGAGGCTAGAACCACAACACAATCATAATAATACCTTTGTACAATGTCGGGGTCTACAAAGCCCTTCCACTTGTGTTATTTCATTTGTTTCTCACTACAACTCTCGATTTTGTAATTGAGAAAACTGAGTCTATGAGCATCTATGAGTGGCTTATTTAAGTCATATGGTGGGGCAGCCCGGGGGGCTCAGTGGTTTAGCGCCGCATTCAGGCCCAAGATGAGATCCTGGAGGCCCAGGATCAAGTCCCACATCAGGCTCCCTGCATGGAGCCTGCTTCTCCCTCTGCCTGTGTCTCTCACTCTGTGTCTCTCATGAATAAATAAAATTTTTTAAAAATAAAATTGTCACATAGCTAGTGAGTTCCTGAACCAGGACTCAACCCCAGCAACCCTGACCCCACATCCAGAGTTCTTTTCAACATGGCATAGCACCCCCATGTCATGCCAAAATGTTCCTTTTCATGGAGATTTTTAAATAATTGTTTCTTCCATCAATAACAGCTACTGGCCTGGACTCTCAGAGAGTCAGCATGGTGTAACGGAAAGAGGACTGTTTAGAGAGTTCTGAGAACCAAGTCTTAGTTCTGTCTTGTTGATGGCTAGCAGTAGGACCTCAAGCAAGACCCAACATTGGAGTAGTGCTAGCTCAATGCCAGATACTATGTTTTGGGTCTTCCTCTCAATTCTAAAATATGGAAATCAATGTGTCTGCCCCGCCTCTCTCACAAGCACACCCCTGAGCATACAATGTGATAGTGTATGGGAAAGAATTTTGTGCACCATAAACTACTGGACTCAAGCAAGTGTTACTATTATCAGCATCAGCATCACCAGCCTCCCTAGAGCAGAAATCTAGGGGTGACACAAGCCTGGGCTCTGCCCTCCTGAAACCAACCAGACAAAACAGGGCATTTGGGGTTCCCTGGGGTAATTTAGACCTCAAACCAACCTCTGACTTAATTCATAGGATAAGTGCTTCAATTCTCTGCTTTGTTCTGAAATCAGAGGCCTTCCTTGTGTCTCTGGTAAAACAGCCCAGTCCTGTGACAAGGACAGCAACAACAATGACAACAATTTCAGTGGTTTAGATTCGTTAGAGTGTCAGAAGGAAACGAATTTGAAGCTTCTGGTCATCTCTTTGTCCCCTGCCCGCCCCAGTCAGTTGAACGTGAAGTCAGATTTGGAACTCAGTTTCAGGACTGTCAAAGGGCTCATTTTAAGCCACCTCAGTTGAAAGCAGACTAGGGGAGAGAAGGGTACAGAAAGAGCCTTGCAAGTTCAGAAAAGAAAGAGTGAGGATGGTACTAGATTAGCAGGGCTGACCGAGAGTTACATACACTATGTGCTGGGTAGTGTTTCCCTTTATGCCCGGGAAGGGCCGTGGGGGAGAAGTCCTTGACCCTGTTCACTCTTCATATATCTCGCATGCACAAACTCTACTGCAGCAGGTTGCTGCTGGAGAAGCATTCCAACAGCCCACTGCACGCTGAGGAAAGCCTATTCTCTGCCCCCTAAGAGCCCTAGGTCTAGATGGGGAGACAGCATGTCTGGTTAAACTTAACTCTGTAAACAACTAACAGCCTTTCTGGATTTTATAGCCAAAGGGGGAAAATGAGGAAGGGGGCTAAAATCACCCCAGAGGCCTCTCGAGGTCAAGCTCCCTGCTTCCCTAAGACTCCTAGGCACTTAACAAGGTTTTTAATCAAACAGACAGTGTTAGAGGTGGAAGAAACTAAGATATCATCTGCCTCCTGGAAAACCGGCAGTGGCTGCCCACTGCCAACAAAATCAACTCCATAAGCCTTCACCTAGCTTCCACGGCCCTTCCTGATCTTTCTTGTTCCAGCCTCCTTCTCATCCATGTCCCTCACAAAGCCTCTGTTCCCACCAAACCAGCCCTCTCACTATTCCTCAGACAAGATAAGCGCTTTCTTGACTGCTCCTTCAGCATTTTCTATGCCCTTCTGGGCTTGTTTAAATCTCATTCAACCATTACTCAAGCTGGTTCTTCCATGCATTTTCCCTGGCCCCCACTCCCTCCCCATGGAAGTTAACTGCTCCTGGGGGTTTCCCCCAACAGACTGAGCTTGGCTTTTTATTAAGCACTTCTACAGTCTGCCTGCTGACTCTCCAACAACATTCCCACTTCCTTGGATAAAGGGACCCAATATTTCTCAACTGTCTATCACAGCCTCCTTTCTCTCCTGCCAAAATCTCTTACTATGGCATGGGGTAGGCCTTCTACAAGTAATTTGTCAGTGAATGAATGGATGGATGATTTAATCTAATCCTCTTATTCCATAGTGGGGAAACTGAGGCCCAGACCTGGCTTCTCTTCTTGCCCATTAAGGACTCAATTCTGAGTGTTAGCTTCCTTTAGTCTTTCTCTTCCCATTTAGCGCCGACACATGGTCTCTAAAGTTAGACAGACATGGTTGGAATCCTGGCCCTGCCATTTCCTAGTGATGTTACTTTAAGACCCTTAATTTCTATCTGAGCCGCAGTTTTCTCACTTATAAAATGGGGGCTAATAAATACTTCCCGAAAATATTACAAAGATCAGATGAGTTCTTGGATGTTAAGCACTTAGAACAGTGCCTGGCACCTAGTGGATACCCTGCAGTAGTTTTTTTTTTTTTTAAGCATGAGAGTTTTTATTTTTTATTTATTTTTTTAATTTTTACTTTAAGTAGGCTCCATGCCCAACGCAGCACTTGAACTTGCTACCCTGAGATGGAGAGTTGCACACTCTACCTATCGAGCCAGACAGGCACCCCAACCAAGCACAAGGAGTTTTTTGAGTCCAGAACTTGGGAGCACCTGCTTAATTCAAGCCTGGGGAAAAAAGCACAACCCAAACATAAAGAAAAAAAAAAGGTGTATTTTTGGCAAGGGGAATGGAATAAAATTTAACAAGACCTTTCAGCGAAACTATTCTCTCTTCCCCCAAAGAGGCTAAAGAATATTGAGAATAGCACCCAGTTCAGTAGCCCACATTCTATGGGGGCTCACTCAATTCCACTTCCTCTGGCTATGGTGGTAATTCTATGTAGGCTCAGAGATGTTGGCACGGGACGGAGATACCCTTTTGAACTTACACATCTCTTTTTTTTTCTTTTAATTTTTTTTATTTTTATTTTATGATAGTCACACACAGAGAGAGAGAGAGGCAGAGACACAGGCAGAGGGAGAAGCAGGCTCCATGCACCGGGAGCCCGACGTGGGACTCGATCCCGGGTCTCCAGGATCGCGCCCTGGGCCAAAGGCAGGCGCCAAACCGCTGCGCCACCCAGGGATCCCAAACTTACACATCTCTATGCTCACTCCTCTCCATTTGTCTACACTTGAGTTCTGTTCCACCTGGCCAAATACTTCAAGCCCCACTTCCACGGAGCTGTCTCTAAAGGCTTTTGCCTGGTAAGTACTGCTTAGCACTTAGTGATTTTCTGTGCTGTGTGACTTAGTTCTACACACACACCCCCATCTGAGGGCAGGCACTTTGCCACAGAA